GAACGGCTGCTTCATTTTGGGTTGGACTAAAGAAGGATAAAGGTGTGTGTGTTAAACAAGGATCACCTCTTAAAGGATTCCACTGGACGGTGGACAACAGCACTCAATCTGAAGGCAACATGTGGAAATCTGAGCCTTCGCACACTTGTACGGATGTTCGCTGCGGGCTACTTTCAGTGGAATATGGAAACTCTGGTGCGACAAACTGCGGATTTATGGATGCCACCTGCAAACAGCAACATCCTTTCATTTGCAAGCGAAATATGGAGACGATGTGCCAACGACCGGAGATACCTAAAACACAATACATAATCGACTATCCGGAAGATCCGTACACATGTCAGGTTGTTTGCAATTCTGGTGCCAATTACACTTTGACATGCTCACATGATTCAGTTTGGACCATAGTCGGGAAGGAAAACATTGATGTGTTTCAACTCTGCCTGGAATGTGTGAGCGGCTACAGGAGGGATGCATCCGGAAACTGTGAGGATATAAATGAATGTGAAGAATCAAACCCGTGCAATCATGGATGCAAGAACACATACGGCTCCTACATTTGTGACGAACCAAAACTACCCACAACTCATCTGAAAAGTGATGAATCTTCACACAATGATGAGGGCAAATCTGTGCAACCTCAACCTACAGTTCTGTCTGAGGACGTCAGGATGAATGACACAGGGGTGCAGATTGAGGAGAGCGTTGGAGACATTTCAAATATCATAGTACCTGTGATTATAGCCCTGCTGATTTTCATCGTACTAGTGGTCATTGTCGCGGCCATTGTGAAAGGATGCCTCAGGAGGAGAACCGTAAAACGGGCCCGGAGAAAGGCGGAGTCTGTGGCTCTGAATGGATCCAGCTCCATGGAGAAGGTGAATGAAAAAGAGGAAACCTAAATGGGAGAGACTGTGCAAATGTGACAGATAACTCAATGTGACACATGCAGGCGACTACAGAGAGGGCTTACTGGATGATATTACTCTCTCAGAACATTTGGGTTTGAGAGTCATAAGAGAGCTGTGTAAATGCTGCCTTTGAATTTCATTTGCCGTTCCCGTCTGATTTGTTTTTACTCACAGTTGAAATCAGGGTCTTTCTGCTGATGTGGATTTTGAAATTAGTGATTAGATGGATGAAAATAGCGTACTCTGTCTTTGTTTACTCCTACCTAGCTGATATTTAAATGCACCTATACTTGGAGATGTAAGAACTGTAGATGATGTTGTGATGTTACTGCCATTGGATCTGTTTTCTAATTATATATTAAGCAACATTGGAGATTTATATGTCTGGAGGGTTATGAATAAAGGCGGACATTAAAGCTGTAAGCGGCTGTTATTTTAATCATCTTTTTTCTTTGATAGCCAAACATAAACAGTACGCTAGCTTTACAGGTAAAGCTAAAATCGCTAAAGCTAAAATGTTCTGAGAACATGTTTTGTTTGGTGCCGCTAGAGGCGCTCACGTCACTAATAACACCTTTAAAGTGATAGTTCACACAAATATTGCAGTTCATTTACTGACCAAGATGTAGAGAACGTTTATATCCAGCAGAATATTAAAGTTATATTATTTTGACTGAAACTGAAACTACAGTCTGTAACCGATTTAGAAAAATGAAACAAGTAATGTACAAAAAATACAGGCATTTTGATGGTAAAAAAAACCCACAACTGATACAAATGTTTCCTGATGATTCAGTAAAAAATTTGGTCCCTTTTAAAAACAGACTAATAAAAAACAAACCATTATTCACATTTAATCCACACCCTCACCAAAACATGTCTTAGGTTCATGGTAGTCACAATCTTCATGTCATATGATGACGTATGGAGCAAAGCAAACACATGAGCTAACGCTGTTTGTTTAGAACAGGGAGGAAAGACTTGTTATTGTTCATCAAAACTGTACTTGTACTTGTGCTTATGTTATAAATATAAACATTTTTACTCAAGAAAAAAGATAAATATACATCTTGGATGGCATGAGGGCAGGCAAATTAACAACAAGTTTTCATTTTGGCTGAACTATATGCTTGAAAAGCACACTGTGTTTCTGGCTGATCAGGCAACTTTCATTGTGGCTGTACTCTTAGAAATGAAGGAACACGAGCTGTCACTGGGGCAGTATATTTTTAAAAGATACATATTTATATGCAAATAGCCCACAACGGTACCTAAAAGGTGCATATTAGTACCCAAATGTACCTAAAAATTATCTTTGAGGTACCATTATGGACCCTTGAGGTACAAATATATACCTTTTGAAAAGGTACTGCCCCAGTGACAGCTCCCTTTATTTCTGAGAGTGTGCAGTTTCATGATGAGTATTTTAAATTATTTAAAACGTGTATACATACCCAGGTAGCAATAAAATTCTGGGCCAGATTTGGCATGGGATTTGTCCGGCACTGGCATACAGCATGTGGACCAAACATGGCCCGGGTTTCACAGAGGTGGCAAGATGGCAGCACACAAGATATCAGATGTAATATTTGGCCCAGATGTTAAATTTTTAAGTGGGCCACGTTTGGTCTATCTTGGCCCACTTTTAAAATACATTTATATTATTTTTAATAAAGAAAAAACTCTACCAATCAGGTTGCTTCAAGAAAAAGCTTGGCCATAAAGCGAAGTGCTTCATGGGTTAATCAAATTCAATGCAGTCGTGACAAACCAACATATCTGAGAGGGGTCTGGATGCAGACCTGGTGCAGTGCAAACTGAGCTGCATCCAATGCTTTTTAATGCGCTCACCTAACCCCACCCCTAACCCTACCCATCACAGTGACGTCATTCACTTCATTTTTGTGACTTGAGTCTGACATTGCATTGCTGAGTGATGCAAATTTCAGCTTGCATCATAAAGGCTGCATCCAGATACTATTGGGCTAGTTCAGGCCCAGTTAACGGCTAAAACTTGGCCCAGATATAGTCCATGTTTAGCCCTTGTATGGAAGCTAGAATTGGTCATATTATATACAGAAATTTACTGCAGCAAGCCAAGCAAAAGTTGATTGTGTGGGCCAGATCTGGACCAGAGAAAATTTGCTATGTGGGTATTTTACATTTACATTTAGATTTTCATTCATTAATTTTCTTTTCAGCTTAGTCCCTTTGTTAATTTGGGGTCGCCACAGCGCAATGAACCGCCAACTTGTCCAGGATATGTTTTATGCAGTGAATGTCCTTCCAGCTGCAACCTACTATGTGGGTATTTTCTTTTTATTCATTCATTTAAAAAATTTTATTAAAAAAAATATGAAGAGCGCCTTATAGAAAATGAATAAAAAGAGAAAAATATCCCAATATGTGGTGTATTCGATCTTGAAAATCTAATTTTTAAGTACAGTTTGCATAAATTAATAAACGTATTCTGTCAGTGAAAAGATTCAGCATTGTACTACAGGTCGGCAGCCGAAAGACCCACCCCCCTACTGACAAAGGTCCAGTATTTATCCCATACATTAGCTCATTTGTCCTATTTTGACTGTTATGCCACTATAAATTATTAAAATAATCCATCAAAACAGGCTTTAAGATCTAAAGTAAGACCTGCAAGTCAACTCAACTTTTACTGTATTGTTGTTAAATAGAGTAAACCTTTTACAAGAAACTTTTATTCTAAATCTTGGACCTTATACTTGAGAGAAAAAATGTGCAATAAAACGTGAAACACCAAAGGCACCCCATATTAAAGTTACTTATAACACTTATTAGACTATTTTGCTGTTATCCATGAATTATCAAACGTAGTTGTTAGAAGAGAGGCTAGAAAAATCAGGAAGCTTTATGTTGTTATCATTATTATTATTATTATTTTCTATTATTGAAATGTCCAAATTCTGACTGGAGAAAGTTGAATGTGTTGGCCAGCGTGTGATTTGCCTAATTACCGATAAAAGTCTACAGTTTTTATTTTAAAACTATAACAGATTCCTTTTTTTTTTACTTCCTATAGTAATATGTGATATAATAAATTTGTATTTTAAACATAAGTAGCCTTTTTTCCATACTTCTTAACTCTAAATCTTTAAAAAATATTTTAAGTACATCAAAAAGTGTGACCATCTGACAAACTAATCTAGCAAAAAATAAAAAATAAAAAATAGTGCTTAAAATGTGACTCAAATGCAGTATCTAAACCTCAAAAAATGAGTCAAATAACTGCAAAAAGTCCAGAATCTTTTCAACAGGCTGGCCACGAGCTTGCATTAGACCAGTGTTTCTCAACCACGTTCCTGGAGGCCCACCAACAATGCATGTTTTGGATGTCTCCTTTGTTTGTCACACCCTTTACAGGTATTTCAGTGTCTGCCAATGAGCTGATGATCTAAATCGGGTGTGTTAGGTTAAGGAGACCTGGAAAATGTGCAGAGCTGGTGGTCCTCCAAGAATGTGGCTAAGAAAGACTAAGAATACTTAGAATAGTAGACCAGGGGTCACCAAACTTGTTTCTGGAGGTCCAAGCTTAATCAAACACACCCGAACAAGCTTATCAAGGTCTTACTGGGTATACTTGAAACACCCATGCAGGTGTGTTGAGGCAAGTTGGAGCTAAACCCTGCAGGGCACCGGACCTCCAGGAACGAGATTGGTGATAGCTTTAGACACTCTCCCTGCATACAACTTTTACAGATTGTTTATTTACTGAAAATCTACAAATTACTCGACCTGTGTCATGTAGACAAAAACAGTTAAGCGTTAGATTTTGTTGTTTTTGTAAATGCAACACTTTTTTTAAAATTAACATTAAATGCTGAACGACCCCTCATTCGTGACGTCATTGTCGCAATGCATTGCGTCTTTCTTTCATATACTTGCATACCTAATTTGGCGGAGTGTGGTGATAACGCACCAGCGGCTCTGTTTTTATTTCATTGCACAGATCCAAAACAAAATAAACGAGATATATAACACTCCATTTCTGCTCTAAGCACTGCACGTCTCCTTTAGAAAACACACATCTAATTTCACCACATAATACACTGAGAGTAAAAGCCATTTCCTGCATTTTATTCCATTTTAAAATAAACATTTAGTATTTGGCTGTGGTAATTCCTCTTTTTTTATCTAAACGTCTCACGTTATTTCAATATAGACTTTATAATAACTTTCACAAGTCATTCAAACACATCATATAATGTTTAAAGCATGATAAAAAAAAAGTTAATGCACATTCATAAATCGACTTAAATGCGCATCAACTTAAAATTAAGCATTATATGTTAATTATGAAAGTTAGTACAAAGTCTTACCAACAAAAAACACACACTGATATGACAACAGATAACAAAAACGAGTCTTTATGCTGGCTGCAGTGCCTATAGTGTTGTAGTTCTGGATGTGCATGTGCCATTCCTGTACGTGCTGTCCGATTCCAGATTGTCCGGTTGAAAGTCATCCACGCTGTATCCCCGACTCTTCAGGGCCGTGGCATAGTAATCTATGGGCTCCTCCGTGGCGTTCTCCCACCATCGGAGGCATAAAATCCTCTGGAAGGAGCGTCTGAAGTTGTCCGACAGGAATCCATACAGGATAGGATTGGCACAGCTGTTGGCATATCCCAAAATCACAGCCAGCTGACTAAGGGTGGCATTGTGCTGCTGGACGAACACGCTCACCAGCTGCACGATGTGAAAAGGCATCCAGCAGATCACAAACACCGTGACCACCATCATCACCATCAGCGTGATTTTCCTCTCGGACTTTTTGCGCTGCTGCCAGCCCGCTTTGAGCGCCACCACTCGCATCTTGACTATGATGAGGATGTAGCACATGCAGATGGCTATGACAGGGAAGAGAAAGCCCATCAGAAAGGCGTATATCACAAACACGGCCATCCACTGGCGCTCGGGCTCTGGCATCTGCATGTTGCACGCTACAGACCCATCAGAGTTGGGCGCAGTGGTGGAGAAGATGATGATGGGGAGAATGACCAGGATGGAGAACATCCAGACTGCTAAGTTGACCATTTTAGCGATGGTGGGTCTCCGGTAGCGGGCAGCTTTGATGGGATGCACCACGGAGATGTAACGATCGATGCTCAACACGGTGAGACAGTAGATGCTGGTGAACATATTAATGGCATCAACACTTAAAACCAAGCGACACAGGAGAGAACCAAACGGCCAGTGGTGAAGTAAAGAAGAGGTGACCAAGAAGGGCACGCTCAACATGAGTAACTCATCCGCGATCGCCAAGTTCAAAATATAGATATTGGTCGCAGTTTTCATCTTCGCATACCTGAAGATCACATATATCACCATCGAGTTCCCACATAGTCCAACTAGACACACCACGGAGTAGATGAAGGAGATAAAAATCGCGCTGCTGCCGTGAGCATCCCCGTTATGCGTCTCGTTGCTGGAGTTTAACAGATATAAACCATCCTCCAGGTTCTTGAAGGTGTCGTTGGGCAGCATTCCGACACCGGTTTAATTCTGCTCTGGGTTTAAAGTGTATAAATAAGAGCTCAGAAGACGCGCACATTGATGCTGCGCGACTCCGGAACGCGCATCCCGACGCTGCGGCGGTTTCAGCACCATGGACAGTTACTCCACATCCACATGCATCACATTCACAGACGTCACACGTGCAACATGACGCCATCGGGTCCTAACTGGCTTGAAAGCGTGTCTGAGACACAAAAATAGTTTCTGACGACATCCAGGCATTCTTGTCTCAATATAAATACAAAACGACAAAAATAAACACACAGTTTCCATATCTAATAAAGTAATGCAAACTGTGACTAGTCTTTCTGAAGGCTTAACCTTGCCAACAGCACCCAGAAAGCAGTTTATTAGTGTAGTTAATTATAAGAAACATTTGTTTAGGTTTTAAAAAGTAATATTCTGAAAAGGGGGGAAAAAATAAAGCCTTTTAGTCTCTAGAGGAGATTCGTGACTGACTCCACAAAAGCAAACTATTAAGAACTTTGTGGATTAATCTTTGATTAAATTGTTTATAATTATATGTATGTACTATAACTAAAATCTTTGCAGTGGACTACACGCAGTTACGCAGACTAGATTGTAATGAATATTCTGAAAACTGAGTTTGTTTAAAATTCATAGATTCTTCATACCTTTCCAGTCCACTGTTGAATAAAACATGATGCTCATCCTATGATAAAGCAAAGAGGTTTCACAAAAGGTCTGCTGAACAAATGAAATGCACAGCATTTTGAGTCTGGAGTCATTCAGTGAACCCTGATGTTGTGCATCTTTTGTGATTGTTTCCTTGGTCTTTATATACTTCTCCCAAGTTGCACAATGCCTTAGAATAACAACAAAGCACTCGTGAGTGTGAAGAGGAAGCTTATTTGCGCTTATTTCTGGCACCACCTAGTGATGGATCCAAAGCTAAAGAAAATAATCCGGCTTCAGCTAACACTGTGATGTTTGAGGGACTATACAGGATAAAATATTCTGGTTTCAGACACATATTGCAATAAAGGCATCACTGTGTATAATTGATTACACTTTTTCTATACTCACTTTATAATTCACTATATGGTGAATAAGAGGTTCAGAATCTTGTCAGCTAAAATCTTTAGGTTGAACACCCAACATCACTTTACCCCTAAAGCCTTGCAATACAGATTAAAACTAAATGAGAAAAAAAATAAGAAAAAAACGAATACATAAAGAATGGCAAATTAAATAACCTTATAAAAAAGGCAGGTTCTGTTGTGGGCTGTGTACTACCCAGTATTGAAGAGATAGCACATGATTGAATGATAGACAAATTCGTCAGTATGATGAACCACGATTGTCATCCCCTTTTTGATTCAGTCCAAGGGTGTGCAAACTCTTTTAGCTCAAGAATAATTCAGCCCTGGTGTTACAGGGAACGATAGAGGAAGTAATTTTTACTAACAGTGATTAGATTGTATAACCAGTCATACTAGATGAGTTATGCAGAATTGTATTAGCATTATAACTGTATAGATATGCACTAGTGTCTACTCGATGTTTGAAAATAAGTTGTGCAGTATGAATGTAATTATATTAATATTTATGTGCGTAATTTTATTTTACTTATTCTATATTATGGAGAGCTCTGCTGTGACGTCAATTTCCCATTGGGATTAATAAAGTCTAAACAAACAAACATACAAATTGTTTAGTATTAACAAAGAGAAAGGAACATTCTACATTCTGATCAAAATTATAACAACAGAAACGAAAATGATTATGTAATAAAAAATAAATGGAGGGCGACATGGTGGCTTAGTGGTCAGTTTGCATGTTCTCCCCGTGTTCGTGTGAGTTTCCTCCAGGTGCTATGCGCTGTAGGTGAATTGAATAAACTATATTGAGTGTGTGTGTGAATGAGTGTGTATGGATGTTTTGCAGTACTGGGTTGGAGCTGGAAGGGCATCCTCTGTGTAAAACATATGCTGGATAAGTTGGCGGTTCATTCTGATGCGGTGACCCCTGATGAATAAAGGGACTAAGCCAAAAAAATAAATGAATGAATGAATGAATAAATTAACAAAGCAAGATGCCATTGCATTAAATGTCATAGTCATTGAGGTTTTTAGAATAATTGAATATTAGCTGTAGAAAAACATTAACATTTATTCATTTATTTAAAGCATACAGCACAATATCACAGACCAGAAATTTGAAGGATGTCACTAAAAGTATAGTTCACTTAAAAATGTTAATTACTCAAACCTTTATGAGTTTCTTTCTTCTGTTGAACACAAAAGAAGATCATCGAAGAACATTAAAAACCTGTAACCATTGATTTCTATAGTTAAAATACAAATACTATAGAAGTCAATGGCTACAGGTTGCCAAACATTTTAAAAATACCTCCTTTAGTGTTAAACAGAAGAAAGAAACTCATAAAGGTTTGGAACAAGTAAAGGGATGAAAAAATGATGGCAGAATTTACATATTTGGGCGAACCATCCTTAATAGGGCACCTATTTTATGCCTTTTTCAAAATTTAGGATAAGTGTTTTGTATGTGTCTGTAAAGTTTCAGCTTTAATGCTAGTTCTCCCTGCTGTCAGAGTGTGCCTCAATCTCCGACTGCGTCAGATAAACAGCACAGTGACAGACATGAAGAAAGCAGATCTTACGCAACATTGTGAGAAATACAACAGAAAGAACTTTCCCAATGATTATTTGATGTATTTGTTGTGGAGTTAATTCAAGCCTTTCTGCTACGATAAGTCACACACAATGCCATTACAAAGTTCACACACACAGCGGACACACAGACACACACACAGCACGCTTGTTTAACTTTACACTGTTTTTGCATGGCAAATTTGAAATGATACACGTTAATATCCACTGCTGTATGGTTATCCGTTATGTTAATGTACAAAATAAACCTGATTTGACATCCACAAACCGAGATTGAAGCAACTTCTTTTATAATTGTACTGACATGCGGTGGTGGTGGTGATGAATTACACTGACTTTACCAGCTTTAACTTAAATTTTTACAAACATTTACACCTTGTAAAACTCATTCCTGATCACATTTGATGATGATTGATGATCACAAAGAGCTGAACAGATCTTTTAATTCCAGTTGCTTTGCACACGTCCTGTCTTGTTGATATGATTATATGCGTTACTACAGAGACATGTTAATACACAGCTTTTAATCAATTGGGTGGGCGGGGAAACAGCACTCCTATGTCAAATTGTGGTGGGCCTCAAAATGCGAGGGATTTGAATCCTATTTTAACATCAGGATATTTAAAAAAAAAAAGACCAATTGTGTTTAAATCACCCCAATGTGACTTTGAAGACACTATACCTACACTATACCTATTTTCATCATAGGTGCCCTTTAAAAGAAAAGAAAACTCTCTCAAAATCGTTTTATAAACAATATCAGTATGTAGTTTGTAACATGGCTGAAATGGTCTACTCAAAATACAAGACTCCTGCTACAATATGTCAGACAAACTATTCCACACCTGAAATAATTTCACCCTGGAGCTAAGACACTCCATCTTAAAATGCTCCAATCTTAAAAACAGGATATAAGAATAGCAAGAATGCGAACGTCTTTTGTCAGAATTTGAGTGATACCTCATTTTCTCACAGATGGAGACTTGTGTTGTCCTTGAAATGTAATGAGCCCAGTCAGAGCACAACATGTGAGGAGCAGATGGCCATCTTCACACTCTTCTCTCTGAGACTCTCCCTCTTTCTCTCTCTCTCTATCTGAACTGGAGATGAGCCAGATCATTCAGCAGGTGTTTCTTTCTTTCTTTCTAGTTAGGACCAGTGTCTCTACTCTGTGGCAGCTCAAGTGACCTAAATGTTTCAAGGGAAATGGGATTGCAGACATCAGGTAGATACAGCTGGGAGATTAATCAGCTAGAACTATAGTCAGTGAATTAAATAGTCTGATTAATCATTGTTTCACATTATTCATCACTTGATAGATATGCAACATTCCAGTTAGACATAATAAACAGTTAAACTCAACATCTAAACTCTTTCTGATTTTGAATGTAATGTAATAAGGTGCAGTTTGTAAAGCTGCTTTGGACTGATAATTTTTGTTAGAAAGGGTATACAAAGAAGCTTGAAATTCACTGAATTGAATGTTTGTTCAAAAGCGTTCAGGTTTAAGCGATTAAACTACTGGTATAAAAAGGCTTAGTTTAGTTTCTAAACGATATATTCATGGCAATTTTCTCACCCCTTTGTCAAGCAAGATTTTTCTTTCTTCAGTTGAAAAAAACATTATGGATATGGATAAACCCAACATTGTGTTAATTTCCATCATTTTCCTTCGGGTTAGTCTCTATTTCAGCATATGCTTTAAGCAATGGATGCCCTTCTTGCAGCAACCCAGTATTTGGAATCACCCATACACTTATGCACTTATACACAACAGACAATTTAGCATACCCAATTCACCTACAGTACAGCACATGTTTTTGGACTGTGGGAGAAACCCGGTCACACGGGGAGAACATGCAAACTCCATACAGGAATGCCAACTGGCCCAGCATGGACTCAAATCAGCAACCTTCTTGCTGTGAGGCAATCGTGCTACCCACTGTGCCTACGAGATGCCAATCAATAAAAATATTTTATAAAATTATAAAACCTCACATGACATTTTATATTGTAACTAACATAAGCAATACTTTTTTCTCCCTTTATAAAATATAATAATATAATACTGAATGACACTATCAAATGCACAAAATTTTGATGAACATGAAAAAATATATAGATATTATCCACTGAGCCACCGTGCCACCCTGCGTAAATATTTTTAACTAAATTTAAACCATTTTGACCCAAATGGTGGGTTCTGTCCATATTTGACCCAATGTTAGGTTAAAAGAACCCAGCATATTTTATGATGCTCTGTGGTTTGAACTTCCAATATTGCAGTTAAAATAAACTGTAAAAAAATAAATAAATGAACACCGGGAATTCTCTTTTCACAAGAAATTTAAGTTGAATTAACTTTATTTTCATATTTACAGTATGTATATAGCTCATAATTTTAAGCCACTTTCTAAAAATAAAAGAGAAGTAAACTGCTTTAAAAGCAGCTTAAATGGTCTCGAAATGATCCCAGCTGATGGGACACTGCACTGGTGGTGCAGTAGGTAGCACTTTCACCTCAAAGCAAGAAGGTCGCTGGTTTGAGCCTCGCCTGGCTCAGTTGGCATTTCTGTGTGGAGTTTGCATTTTCTACCCATTTTTATGTGGGTTTCCTCCAGGTGCTCCGGTTTCCCCCACAGTCCAAAGACATGCGGTACAAGTGAATTGGGTAAGCTAAAATTGACCGTAGTGTATGAATGAGTGTGTGTGTGTGTGTGTGTGTGTGTGTGTGTGTGTGTGTGTGTGTGTGTGTGTGTGTGTGTGTAAATGAGAGTGTGTGGATGTTGCTGCTGGAAGGACATCAGCTGCCTAAAAACATATGCTGGATTAGTTGGCAGTTCATTCCGCTGTGGCGACCCAAGATTAATAAAGGGACTAAGCCGAAAAGAAAATGAATGAATGAATAATTGAATGAATGAATGATCCCAGCTGAAGAAGAGGAATCATAAATATAGTGAAACGATAATTAATTAATTCATACACTTTCTTTTCGGCTTAGTCCCTTTAATCATCAGGGGTCACCACAGTGGAATGAACCAACTTATCCTGCAAATGTTTTACAAAGCGGATGCCCTTACAGCTGCAACCAAGTTCTGGGAAACACCCATACACTCTTACATTCACTCACACGCGCTCACATGCACACACACGCACGCGCGCACACACACGCACGCGCGCACACGCACGCACACACACACACACACACACACACACACACACACACACACACACACACACACACACACACACACACACACACACACTACAGACAATTTAGCTTACCATATTCACCTATATAGCATGTCTTTGTACTGTGGGGGAGCACCTGGAGGAAATCCATGCCAACATGGGGAGAACATGCAAACTCCACACAGAAATGCCAACTGGCTCAGCCGAGACATGAAACAGTCACTTTCTTGAATTGATTGTGACAGTATTAACCACATGTTGCCCGAAAGATCAATCATTTTCCTAAATAAAAAACAGAGAAATATATTGCATTCTGAATCTAGTGCAATAACAGTTGTTGTGGTTAAAATTTATACACTGAAAAAAATATTTCTGCAAAATTGTTGCAAACAATTTATATATGTTGAATTTAAACAAACAAATTAAACTTAATGTTTAACTTAATTTGTTTGTTTAAATTAAGCTCAAATAAATAGTTTACACCACTTAAAAAAGGGTAATCCAATGAATCATCTATTAATTTTTTTTTCTAAGATCCATCAGAAATTTATAAGACATTTGTTCCTAAACTGGATCATTTATAGCAATTTGAAGCTGCACTGAATCTGTGGTTTGGATGTTCTAACCACTGTGCATCTTAGAAATCAACTATATGCTGAAAAATCTGGAGTACTTTACCTTAAGATATATAATTTCTTTACATCCGATGAAACAAAAACTTGAACAACTTGGATGACAAGGAAGAGAGTAAATTATTAGGACATTCTGTATATTTAAAATCTTTGAATTCAGTCAAAATTACAAACTAAAATTACAAAATGTGAGGGGAAAATGCCTTTGATGACGATTATTCAAAATAATGTAAACATCATGTATTCTGATTAAGTGAGAGCATATAAAAATACAGACATTTCATTGGATCATAGATGTTTCAGCAGTGAGCAGGAACTGCACGTCCGTGAAGGTCGAGTCATTCTGAGCTGCATGAACCTGCTGGCCATCTGCTATTAAGCTGAATGAGAACCTGCAGGTACTTTAACACTCCTTGGTTGACAGACAACAAAAAGAGAGCAGCTTATGCAGTATAAAACCTGAGCTTGCATAAGCCTTTAATGTTATTAATATTCTTTCTGTTTTGTGTAACTCCTGCTATGTCCTTTATGCATCAAATCTGGATATTAGAATAATTTGTTTTGGATTGGCATTGACAATAATGGAAGCTCTGCCAGGAATAAACGATACTTTAAAACATATTAACATAGAAAACAGTTCAATTTAAAAGTCTTATTGAATTTTTTCAGTATTATTGGTTTATTGTTGGCGGTTCATTCCGATGTGGTGACCCCCGATTAATAAAGGGACTAAGCCGAAAAGAAAATGAATGAATAAATAGTTTATTATGCTTTTGATCAATTCAATACTTTCCAAACCACAGATTTTAATTTTGAGGAACAAGCCTCTGCATTTAATTAGCACTTCTATTAGAAGCAGAAAAAAAACCTGTAAAACTTATGTATGAAACATCTTCAATATTAACTGACAGTTTTAATGTAAATTAAGACAAGTTCAATAAAACTATGATGTTGTGTCGACTTAAATTCATATGCAACAAAATTTTGAATTAAACAAGTTTATTTCTGAAAGAATCTCTTATGATCACCAAGGATTTATTAGCATTTTTAAAATTAAAAGCACAAAAAAAATGTACCAAGTTTACCAAATTTACCAAAAGTTACCATATAAGAACTACAGTTCTGTTATTCATCCATTTTCTTTTCGGCTTAGTCTCGATTTTAATACATTCAACTCTGCAGGACGATATGCATCGTTTTTTTCCGCACATTCCAGCTGACCGCTTATCTCCGTAAAGGGCGGCTTTCCATCTGAAAATCTGAAAACATGATAAAAATCAGGGGGCTTTACTTTTTCTGGATTTTTTTTTTTTTGAAACACTGTTGGTTGGGTTCAGGGAAGTGGCTGTGTGGGTCAATCTGTGCTTTTGAAATCACTACCCAGCAAACAATTTTGTGTTTAACAGATGTTTAATAGACATCTGAATGTAGACAGCTTGGCTAAAACAAGGCCAGAATTGCATTGTCAGTGAAAATCTAACTGACATCTCAGAATAGCCCTAAACTAGACTAGTGGTTAGATAGACAAATTAGACAGACTTTATATGTGTAGCAGGCCCATGCAGACACCTTTAAAGGGGCATGTACAGGATGCACTTTCTTGTGTTCATTCATAGGTGTGGGTCGCTAGAGCACTTCAGATCACTTTGGAAGGGCACTTTCTATACAAGACTAAAAAGAGCATGTGCACTGCACAGGTTGAGCCCTATGTGTGCACGTGTCTGATATGTAGTCATTCTTTCATTTTCTTTTCAGCTTAGTCTCTTTATTAATCTGGAGTCACCACAGCGGTAATGAACCGCCAACCTATCCAGCATATGTTTTACGCAGCGAATGGCCTTCTAGTTGCAACCCATCACTAGGAAACACTCATACACTCCCATTCACACACATAAACCATGGACAACTTTAGCTTACCCAGAAGGGACGTGATGCTGGGGAAAAAAAATGGAGGGGGAAAAAATGGAGAAAAAAAAAATCAGTGAATGCATGTATAAGTGCTGATAAGCGCTGACTGACAGACATGTGCATTCTTAAAGTGACACCTCTGTTATCAAACAAAACAAAACCAGATTCATTCCCTGCTCTGATAACAGAGGTTCTCTCGATAACAGAGGTGTCACTTTAAATGGAGTGTACAGAAGCTGATCTGGGATCAGTTTATCATACGGAGCGCATCTGTCAGTCAGCGCTTATACATGCATTTACTGATTCAGGTTGCATATGAAGGGCGATGATCGACACACAGCTTTAATGTAAAGAAAGTAAATGCAAACATTTTATATTAATATCAGCAAGTTTTCAAGATTCCAAATATATGAAAAATATGGGAAAATACTTAATAATAGGATGATAGAATGGTAAAATACAGGAGAAAACTGGCAAAACAGAAGGGTTTTTGGTTTAGGGGAGGAGGGGCTTAGTTAAATCAGTGCTTTTAAAAACATTATTGGTTAGGTTTAGGGAAGGAGAAGGGAGGGTCAGTCGATCAGTCAGTCAGTCAGTCAGTCGACAGCGGCCTCTTGTGGATTTACACAAGAACAGCAGGCGCGAATGGCACTCACAAGAAAAATTTGAGATCTGAAAAAGCGTACACAGCGGCCTCCGGTGTATTCACGAAAACAAAAACTGCAAAAAACGTAGCTCCTGGGACGCATTTGGCGCCCTCCAGAAATGTAAATAGGGGTACGTAATCAGAATGAGCCTGGGTTGGTAAAAAATGTTGTGTTTTGCGGAAAGGATTTGCGTTGGGACAACATGAAGGATTTAAGTTAGCTTGTTAGTTTTCACCAATTTAAGTTGATTGAACATAAAACAGTTAAGCTGTCCCAAAAAACTTAAGAATTGTGTTGTCTCAGCTCATTTTAAGTAAGTAGATTGAACAAATGGTAAACAATTTTTTTGAGTGCATGTAAAATAAACCAAAGCCATCTGACATTATTCAGAATACAATTGCTATTCTTTCTTGTGTGCAATTGTTTAATTAAGTAGACTATTATAATAAATGGTGGTTCATTCTGCTTTGGCGACCTCTGAAATAGAGACTAAGCTGACGGAAAATGAATGAATGAATTATAATTAAGGGCTGGGTGATGTGAAAAAAAATCTTTAAACCATCTTAATCTGAACATTCACGTCATTCCTGACATTCTTCCCCAATATGTTTATGTACCTTAAACAAACTCTCATTTAACAAATTCAAACTGAATGCATCCAATGGCATTAAAACATTGTTCAACAACTGTTGCTGTAGCTCCTTTTAATAATCTAAAAAGCGATAATATCATTTTTAGCAAAAGCAGCACCATTAAGAGTCCTGAAGCTTCAGCGCAGTCCTGTAGTCCTCCATTGCCTCCTCCATCCACCCTAAACAACCCCGAACATCAGCCCTTAGTTTATACAGCAGAGCATCTCCAGGCTCCAGCACCAGAGCTTCAAAAAACAGAGAAAGAGAGAGAGAAATGTGTTAGTGTGAAATGTCACTCTCACCTTCCCCAGCGTTTATCAGTCTGTCTCCTTTATACTGAGAGGTGTACCATTATTTGTGCAGTTTCTTCCCCCAAAACAGCTTTGTTGGCAGTAAACCTCTCGGCTCTATTTGTCGCACACAGAGACTGACATTAATATTAGGCTAGCGCACATCACACAGCGCTTATCCGTGACTGAAACATCACTGAAAGACAGCAAATAGGAGGACATCTACTTTTTAGTTCACACAAGAGGGCCAATTTGAGAGCAATTTGCCATCTGCATTTGCATAAATTACCACTGCTCGCCTGGTACCTTTACAGACGCTGTTTCCACTCGATTCGAGTGAGCTAATGTATAAAAACTCATTTTCAGAGCTTACAGGATAAGCGTTCCATGTGTCTATTTATGGCTAACAAAAGCAAATTGTTTGAAGCCGCGCACTGGAATAGCAAGTGATTACTCCATTCACAGAGAAGACACTCATTAGACACCGAGGGCCATCTGTTTCCTAATATCCCACCTGTTTCAGCCGCAGGCGGATGGAATTAGGAACAGCCTCTATAGGAAACTCTGCTTTTCCATATAAAAAAATGCTTGCACATCCTTGCGTTCGACTTCATAAATATGCAACTTGCCTAGAGGAAATCTATAATTGGTTTACACTGTAACCATAGGAACCACCTGTCTCTTGTTGTACAGCAGTAAAGGGACACGGTTGCAGCGTTTGTTTTCTATATGTGTGTTTTTTTTTCCTTTTCCCCGGGCAGTCATGTGGTCAAAGCCACCATGCACTGCTTCTCTTGTGGGTGTGAAAGTGTTTGCTGAAAGCATCCATCTGCCTCTCTCTCACACACACACATATACTAGAGTGAGCAATGACTACACACATACAGTGTCATGTAGTCAATCTTTGGACTTTCAGCATCAAGTCTGTTCTACACTACAGCTTCTTCAGGTCATGAACTTCCTGGGATGACTAACCAGGCACCGTTTCTTTTGTTTTTAACCCTTGTGTACTGTTCAAACTGACTACCGTTTTGTTTTGCGTGTGGCTTTTTTTTTTTGTCCATTTGATTTGTATTATAATCATATTTTTAATTGCGAAGCCATGACAGGATATGATCAAGCATTGTTGGTTTTTGACGGCTTCACTGTTGATCATCAGTTGACAGCGTTAACCCAGATAGACCTGTGCAAATACATTTCTAGCTTTCTAGAATTTCTAGAGTTCTATGGAGTACAACTGCAGATTATAGTGTCTGTGCATAACTTACTATGTTTACTGTTCTGAGAGCTGAGCTGCTTATTTTGATTATCGCAGACACATCAACATAAGTGTGCAATGGTCTGAAAGAAACTTAGCTTTTTTATATGCTGTAATGGCTTGGCAATCAAAAAGAAAATGTGATTATAAGTCATCAACATACCGAAAGGGTAGTAAATTTAATGTAATTGTTGAATTTTTGAACATTTTAAAAGCATTTTCCCAAAATACGTGTCAAAACAATTGAAGCAACATTTCATTTGCTGAAACACAATGAAAGTTGTGGCCAAATTAAGACTCACACAAGGGTTAATATCCATTTACGAGTGATTGTAACTGAAGTTTTTACAAACATTGGTAAGGAAATATAAATAAATTTGTTGAATATAAAGAAATGTGTTTATATGTTTATTTAAAATGTGTGTATGTGTGTGTGTGTGTGTGTGCGCGTGTGTGTGTGTGTGTGTGTGTGTGTGTGTGTGTGTGTGTGTGTGTGTGTGTACGATTTTTTTTTAACACATTTCTAAACATAATAGTTTTAATAACTCATTTCTAATACCTGATTTACTTTATCTTTGCCATGATGACAGTAAATAATATTTGACTAGATGTTTTTCAAGACACTTCTATTAACCTTACAGTGATATTTAAAGGCTTAACTAGGTTAATTAGATTAACTAGGCAGGTTGGGGTAATTAGGAAAGTTATTGTACAACGATGGTTTGTTCTGTAGATTTTTTCGGGGGGAAAAAATGTATGGGGCTAATAATTTTGTCCCTAAAATGTTTTTAAAAAAATTAAAAACTGCTTTTATTCTATCCAGAAGAAAACCCAAATAAGACTTTCTCCAGAAGAACAAATATTATCAGATATGCTTTGAAAATTTCCTTGCTCTGTTAAACATCATTTGGGAAATATTTAAAAAAGAAAAAAAATTCAAAGGGGGGCTAATAATTCTGACTTCAACTGTATATACTACTGGTGTCCTGACATTTTATCCTACCCCTCAGATTATGCTACCAACAATGTATTTGAATGGTTCTGAGTTTGGGGTTAGGGATTTGGTGGGTTAGGTCGATATTACAGCTTCATATCACAGTAATCTATAATAAAATTTACAGTGGTAGCAAAATCTGATGGGTAGCATATTGCATCATCAAAATAGCAATACCTACTTTTTGAATGGGAGGTAGGACAATCAGAAAAGGTAGAACACATCAACAGAACAACAGTCAAAAGTTTGATGTCAGCTTTTTTCTTTTTTTTAAGAAAATGATTCTGTTCATCAAGGTAGCATGTGGTAAATGTAAAAAAATGGTTAGATTGTTGAATATTTATTAAAATTTTAAATAACTGCTTTCTTATTGTATGTAGTTTTAAATGAAATTATTACTCTAGCCATTATTGCTTTTTTACTATTAAATCAATAATAATAATAATAATAATAATAATAATAATAATAATAATAATAATAATAATAATAGTAAAAGTGATTTCTAAAGAATCATGTATCTCTAAAGACTGGAGTAATAAAGCTATACATGAAATTATTAACTACTTTTGAACAGCTATTTTATAGCGCAATAACATTTCACAATTTTACAATTTGTGCTGTATTTTAAATTAAGTAAATGCAGCCTTGGTGGGCAGGAGAAGCTCATTTTAAAATATTTTAAAATCCTACTGACCCCGTATATATTAAAATTACTGTTGTTAAGTGTTTAAAACTTTATATTAATCTATGAATCTTGTTTATAGCTTCCAAAAAAGCAGCACAACTTTTTTATGTTTAGCATTAATAATTTGAAATGTGGCGAAGTAGTGGTGCAGTAGGTAGTGCTGTTGCCTCACAGCAAGAAGGTCACTGGTTTGATCCTTGGCTCAGCTGGCATTTCTGTGTGGAGTTTGCATGTTCTCCCTGCGTTCGCGTGGGTTTCCTCCGGGTGCTCCGGTTTTCCCCACAGTACAAAGAAATGAGGTATAGGTGAATTGGGTAGGCTAAATTATCCGTAGTGTATGAGTGTGTGAATGAGTGTTTATGGATGTTTCCAGAGATGGTTTGGGACTGGAAGGGCATCCGCAGCGTAAAAAAACGTGCTGGATAAGTTGGCGGTTCATTCCGCTGTGGCGACCCCAGATTAATAAAGGGACAAAATTTTGTACACTAATATGTTTTGTATGCATATTGCATCAGACGGTCAGCACATGGACATGTGGGAGGTCTGATGGCATACTATGAGTATGAGACTATCTGAATTAGTTGAGGATAAAGACAACTTTGCTATCTTCTCAGCAGCTCTCCATTCATCATCTTGACAAAAGGCCTCCACAGAGATATCAGCCTGCGTTATCAAATGTAATTAAGTGGCGGCGACATCGAGCGTCCGCCTGATGTACAAATCTCCCTGTAAAGCGATGAATCATTATTGGCATATTAATATCAGGATGTTTCAAAGTTGGAACATAATAACCTTTATAAATCCACACGACCATAAAATCAAAAGACACAATACACGCTGTAGTTCAGCATTTGGGCCTGCGCTCTCTTGACACGCTGCATGATGATTAATGTGACCTTCAGTATTCATTGTAGTGAATAGAGACACTCAGGGCTGAGAGTTAGCTTTGTCTCTGTGCATTAGCAATTAGTTGATATAAGGTTATCATTCTCACGTCAGAGTTATATATATATGTGTGTGTGTATATATATATATATATATATATATATATACACACACACACACACACACACACACACACACACACACATATATATATATATATATATATATATATATATATATATATATATATATATATATATATATATATATATATATATATATATATATATATAGTATTATTAGAAAATATAAGCCTAAATAAATTACACAAGTTGGTTTTTAGTTTAAAAAAAAAAAAAACATGAACATGGGTTGCTGGTGTGAAGCTGCATTTTCAAAGTCACACACGACAAAATGAATATAATTGGTAACACTTTACAATAAGGCTGTCTTAGTTAATGCATTTACTAACATGAGCAAATAATGAACAATACATTTATTGCAGTATTTGTTCATGTTGGTTAACGTTAAAATAAAGTGAAAATACAGTTGTTTTTTGTTAACAGGGTTGGGCAAATATACAGTGAAATGTATTTTAAAATAAGATCTATCTAACATTAAGGTATTTGGTATCAAAATAAACTACAAAATACAGCAGTCACAATGTGTATCAAAATAAAATACAGTATTTTGCATTTTAAAAATACTACAAAATACTTTTACAAAGGAGCATGACAATTTTTTGCAAATCTTCCATCAATTAGACCTATTTGATCAATCTTTAAAATTCACTTAGTGAAGTAAACAATGTTTGATAGCAAATGTGGCCAGTAAAACTGGCATCATCTCTGTACAATAATTATTCAACCTCTTAATATTTTAAAACGGTGTTAAATAAAGTGTTAAAGTAAATGTATTGTTCACAAAATTTTTCAGAAATCTATTTTTTTTTGTATTAAAACTGTATTAGGATTTTTTTAAATATGAAATATTTGGGTTTCAAATGTTGTGACATCTTAAGGCTTACATCTTTCCTCTTCATTTATACAGTGGACCTGAAGTGTGTGTGTACACTGTAAAAATGGCTGTGATTTCAACAGTAAAAAAACAGTAGAAAAGCTACAGTACAAATCCGTAACCTGGTTAACGGTATGTTTCCTTAATATATATGGCGAAAAAACGTAAATTGACTTTCCTAGAATTCCCTGCATGGCACATAACTTTTTATGCATTTTGTTGACATTAATATGGATCTTTTTAGTTGTTTCCCCATCAGTTATGTACATTAGAGATTTATGTTACATCTAATGTTGATTAACAATGTTTATTTCATGACTTTTATTTTATGCGTGTTACCATACTGGTGTTTAGTAGCTGTGTGAATGACACTGAGCCCTTCTATATGCTGATACTCTTTTCTGCTTGTGGGAGAAGTTGATTGTGATGTGCATTGGCTCATTATGTAACTTTCTCATTACCACCTGAATGTGGGTGTGCTAACGTTTCTAACTGTGTAACAAAAGATGTGTAGATGTTGATCATTCAAAATACAGACATATTACCTCTATAAATTAATAAAATATGGTAATTTACCGTAATAATAAAAAAATACTTTTACGGTTTGTACCATGTTTTTACGGTAAAGTACTGGCAACCACAGCTTCCAGTTTTAAACAGTCAATTTTACCCATTTATTTTTTACAGTGTATATAGTTCCTTAAAAAATGCTGTTTTACAAAAAAAGCATTTTTACTGCCTTTTTGTCAACTACCCATATACAGCCTGTTTTTTTACTACTGGACAAAAGGTAATAACTTCTAAACTAATTTCGCAAGAAGCATGTGCTTATGATTGATCACAGCTGGTCCCACATTAGCTAATGCATGATCCACAAATCAGATGATTCCTAACTCACATTAAAAAAAATCTGAGTTTCATGCCTCAGTTAACTTCATTTTGAAGAACCCCCTCTTCCACTCCTACTTCTCCCCTCTTTCTTCATAGGACGTCAAGTCGGTCCTATGGTTAGCACTGTTGCCTCACAGCAAGAATGTCACTGGTTCAAGTCCTAACCAGGCCGTTTATATTTTCTCCCCGTGCTCGTGTGGGTTTTCCCCAGGTTCTCTGGTTTTCTCCCACAGTCCAAAGACATGCGACATACAGTAGGTGAATTGACCAAACCAAATTGGCACCACAGATGAGCTCTTTATTAGCAGTATATCTCTCCATAGGGATCCCTTATTTGTCATTAGCTATAAATAAGCAGGGGAGTTCTTGAGAGTTCTCTAGTTCTCTACCTGAACTCAAACTCCCCCTCGGCCTACAAACGAGAAGGAGCCCCGGGCTCAAGGATCTTATGAGCTCAGGGCTCTCTCCTGGGACAGCATGCCAAAAACACTTCATAATCAATAATCAGCTAAGTGTGAACTCTTAAAGCTTTGATGTAAATCAAGTTTGATGCTATATAGCCACACTTACTGCACTTATTAAATTATAACAAAGAACCAGTGTTGGTCTGAATGTATTTACCAAGCAAAGCAAACTTTTCCATAAGGTTTGCTTTGTCAAATCGACTTGAACTCACATCAGTTTGCTCTTCGATTTGGCTTGAAGTATACCTGGGCCATTAAATTAGACTTCAGGGGACATAATGGTGCATGGGTGTAAAATATGACTAGCTTAATAAAAGTTGGCAGTAAACTCAGCCTCCTACAGCTCACCTTGTGTAAGGTCCCTCTCAGCTGATTGAAACTGTCTTAGAGAGCAGTGCAGGTTGGCTCTGTTAAAGTAGGCATGTGCAGACAGCGGGTTGAGACACAGAGCCTCATTGAAATCCTGCAGGGATTCTGGAACCTTTCGCAGCAGAGCATGAGTGATGGCTCGGTTCAGGATGGCAGACTCATCTGAGGGGTCCAGCTCAAAAGCTCGGCTGTAGTATTCACATGCCTGTGTCACAGGGGAAAAAAAGAAAGAGATTTACCATATTTCCCAGTGGCTCTCAGCTAGAGAGTGAATCAGTAGTGAACTTCATCTGGCTTTACCTGCTCAAACTGTCCATTGTAAAAGAAGAGGTTGGCAGCATTGAAATAAGCAAGGGCATATGCTGGGTTGAGGCTGATAGCGGTTTGGTAGTCCTTCATGGCACTAGATTTATCCCCCCTTAATTGTTGGATCAGACCTCGGTTTGTGAAGAGCTGCTCTGTGAAAGGGTTGTACTAAAAGGCCAAACAAAGATGTATTAAAGGGATAGTTCATACATAAAATAATATTTAATGTTAATATCCTTTTCATTTTTTTCTTATTATTAGAACATTCAAATGATCCGCTGGATCTGTGGTCCTTAGTAAGTCAGTAAATGCAAGTCAATGGGACGACCAGCACTTCGATAGTTTGAATGATTCTGCTTAAGATTAATTGTTTTAACTTGTAAGCGAGATGCATTTGAGGCGAATTCTATGCATGCATCGTGCGTTCCGCATCATTTACAAAAAATGTAAAAAAAACCTCTATTCACATATTTGCATTGACTTTGTATGTAATTTACTTGTGCAAATACTTAAATTTATACTTTGCATGATCCCAGCATAATACTCATGGCTCCAGAGGATACTTTTAGGTCTTATGCAGGTAATAATTTTATGTTAAGATTTACTTCGTAAGACAGTATTCATTTTGTTTTGCCTGTATGTTCGTTGACTCTGTAAGTACCAGTATTGCATTATAACTTGCATTATATGAATCAATCAAGGACCACTGTTATAGCAATAATATTCTTTAATCATGTGTTGTAAAAAAAATTACCCCAGCATCTTGGCTGACCTGAGAATATGAATAGCAAATTTCTTTTATTTGTGATCTCTTAAACCCTTGTGTACTGTTGGGGATGTTTTCATCCCCTCTGGGATGATTTTGAGTCTCAATTTGGCCACAACTTCCAATGTGATTCAGCAAATGGAATGATTTTTGGTGACAAATTTTATTTTGTCACTAATCTTATGAAATTCCATTGAAAATATGAATAAATTCAACAATACACTCTGGGCAAATTCACAACCCTTTCGTTAGTGGCTGTTTTCCCCCATTGACTTCCATTTTAGCGACATTTTTTGATTGCAATGCCTTGACATCATATAATCATGCATTCTTGATTGGTTTTCCCTGTTGGGAAGAGGTAAAATATGCATGTATTTTTACTGTTGATCATCAGTTGCAGTGCAAAAAAAAAAAAAAAAAGCTTAGTTTCTGCCTTCTATTTGGAGTATAGTGTGTGTGTGTGTGCGTGTGTGTGTGTGGCAAAGAGAGAGACCTTTGTACACTTATCTTGATAAGTTTAAGAAAATCAAAATAAGCCGCTCAGCTCTCAGAAAATAGTAAACATAGTGAGTGTACTTATGCACACACACTATAATCTGCTGTTTTCCTTTTTTTTCACAGGCCCATCTAAAGGGTTAATGCTGCCAACTGATGATCAACAGTAAAACATTTTAACAGGGAAAACCCTTAATATCACAAATGCATGATTATATGCCATCATGACAAAACATTAAAAAATATGATTAAAATGGAAGTCAATGGGGCAAAAACAGCCACAAACATAACAAAAGGATAGTAAATTTTAACAGTACACAAAGGTTAAAGGTAAATATCGTTTAATAAATAAACAAATAGACAGACAGACAGACAGACAGACAGATAGACAGATAGATAGATAGATAGATAGATAGATAGATAGATAGATAGATAGATAGATAGATAGATAGATAGATAGATAGATAGATAGATGGATGGATGGATGGATGGATGGATGGATGGATGGATGGATGGATGGATGGATGGATGGATGGATGGATGGATGGATGGATAGACAGACAGACAGGTAGCTCGACAGACAAACAGACATACAGACAGACAGACAGACAGTTAGATAGACAGACAGACAGACAGATAGATAGATAGATAGATAGATAGATAGATAGATAGATAGATAGATAGATAGATAGATAGATAGATAGATAGATAGATAGATAGATAGATAGATAGATAGATAGATAGATAGATAGATAGATAGATAGATAGATAGATAGATAGATAGATACTGTGGATGGATGGATGGATGGATGGATGGATGGATGGATGGATGGACAGACAGACAGGTAGCTCGACAGACAGACAGACAGACAGACAGACAGACAGACAGACAGACAGACAGACAGACAGACAGACAGACAGACAGACAGACAGACAGACAGACACACACACACACACACACACACACACACACACACACACACACACACACACACACACACACACACACACACACACACACACACACACACACACACACACACACACACACACACACACACACATACATACATACATACATACATACAAACATGCATACAAACATACACGCTCACCTAAAAAAAATCTAAAAGATTCAAAAACAAATGAGCATTCTTACTGAACAAAAATGACAGCGTATATAAAACTACAGTACACACACGGGTACCGAACCAAACTGTTCCCCAAACAACCTCTATAGCAGTGTTTATGTCCTGCAGGGCTGCAAACTTGTTTCCCATCTGTAGACTGGTGGCAGCTCTGCCTTGATACGCAGCCCAGCATTTAGGGTTCACCTCTACAGCCACCGTGAACTGATTCCAGGCTCTCTGGAAGAATCCCAAAACCTGCGGTAAAGGACAACATTTCGACATGGCTTAGTGGAAATCAATAGAGACTTGAGAGGCAACAGGCTGTCTGCAAGATACCGTTCCCTCTCGAGGGAAGAGAGACAGATAATGAGGGCCAGGATGAATACCAAGAGGAATCAGATATATCCTTGTTTGTTGACCTGATTTCTGTGGTTTGTCTCTGGGCTCGGGCATTAGTACTTCCACATTTATTAGAGAAAGGTTTACTTTTAAATAGAGGCTTGAACAACAAAGTCAAAGACAGTGTGTACAGATAAAAAATACCAGACTGGTCAAACAAAAGTCTTTCTTTGTGGGGAACTGAATAGTAGAGGAGCCATGCCTAGGGAGATTTGAAGAGTTTAGGGTTTCTAAGATAGCAAAGGTTAGGATTTCTAAGCACAGAATGTGTAAAAAAAAAATTAGGGCTGTGCAACATGACGATATATACAGTTGAAGTCAGAATGATTAAAAACCCTAAATTACTAGCACCCCATTTCCCAATTTCTGTTTAAAGGAGAGCAGATTTTTTTCTACACATTTCTAAACATAATAGTTTTAATAACTAATTTCTAATAACTGATTTATTTTATCTTTGCCATGATGACAGTAAATAATATTTTACTAGAACATTTTCAAGACACTTCTATGCAGCTTAAAGTGACATTTAAAGGCTTAACTAGGTTAGTTAGGTTAACTAGGCAGGTTAGGGTAATTAAGTTATTGTAAAACGATGGTTTGTTCTGTAGACTATCAAAAAAATATATAACTTAAAGGGGCTAATAATTTTGACCCTAAAATGTGTTTTAAAAAAATTAAAACTGATTTTATTCTAGCCAAAATAAAACAAATAAGACTTTCTCCAGAAGAAAAAATATTATCAGACATACTGTGAAAATTTCCTTGCTCTGTTAAACATCATTTGGAAAATATTTTAAAAAGAAATAAAATTTGGGGTTTTAATAATAGTTTTAATAATTCTGATTTCAACTGTACATCATATGGATAAAATAAAAAGTAGTTCAAGTAGTATTACAAAATATTTTGTAGTGTCACATTGTTTATGGTTATACATTTTTTATAGTGCAATATTACATGCCATTACAGGGATGCAGAAAGTAACATGAGTAATAGAATTATAAGAAAGTTGCAATCTTAAAAGAACAATTTTTGCATTGTGTGTTTTATTTAGAGATATTTAATTTTGTATTTATCATTCGTTTTTAAAATGTTTTATATTTTATTAATATTTATTTAATATTTTCAGTTATGATATTTCATAATTGATTAGAATTTAGGGGTGGCGCGGTGGCTCAGAGGTTAACACTGGCGCCAGCAAGCAGCAAGCAAGGCGCTGTTTCGAGCACCAGCTGGGCCAGTTGGCGTTTCTGTGTGGAGTTTGCATGTTCTCCTTTAGTTGGCGTGGATTTCCTCCTGGTGCTCCAGTTTCCCCTTACAGTCTAAAGAGATGCGCTGTAGGTGAATTGAATGAACCAAATTGACCGCAGTGTTTATTTTATATTTCTAAATTTAAATATACATGTGGACTGAAGGTATAATAAAAATGATAAATATAATCACATGAATTACAATTTTACAATAAAAAATAGTCCTGTATTGACATGATCAATATACAGTATAAAAACTATTAATTGCTTAAATTTACAGAAATTGTATGTCATGATCACGATATGAGATGACCTACTGCATACTGTGGTATGAGATTTTTGTCATTTTGCTCAGCCTTATTCCAAATACATTACCATTTTTTAAATAGTTTAATTCAGAATAAGTAGTAAAGTTGTCAATAGTAGATTGATTAATTTATTTGACCTAATAGACATATTTTGATCCCACTGGTTGCCTGCTAATATTATTATTACACGTATTACAATACAAGCCAACATATTAAAGTGATTTATGAAAGACATGGAGGCCCAATCCCAATTCTACCCCTTAGCCCTTCCCCTTACTCCTACTCCTCGTTTTGCACGTTCACGTGAAGGCGTAGGGGTGTCCCAATTCTCTTTAGCTTAAAGGCCGGAAGGGCTAGATACCCCTTTATACAGAGATTTTTCAGGACCACACTCGAAACCAAGGGGTAAGACAATTTCCTAGAATACACCAGCCACAACGGCAGCATGGCAGCACACGGAAACCAGGAGATCCACAAATTAGTATTTTTTTGTCATTATTAAGAATTATCATTATAAAAATAATTGTCTTTTTTTTTTACAACAAACAAGCATATTTTTTAGTACATTTATAGCGCCGTTTGTGTTTTACCAACATGCTTTGAAAAATGCTAAAATAAAAAACTGCAATCCTTAATAATAACTCTTGTATAGCAGTCCCACAACATTCTGTCACTCTGTGACACTCGAAAACCAAAAAAAATCTAGTGGCTGGGAATGAGCTTTTTACAGTGTCTGCTATAATGTTAATGTTGTGTTTGTGTGTTTATATAGATGAATATGGCCACTGTGTAACTGCACAGTACAGTTACAATCATACTGCTACATTATATCGTTATGATAACATGATATATACCTTTAGTGATTTCCTGAAGATAAATAGCAAAAAAATAGCACAACTGGAATAACTACAGCAGTCGCGATCCTCCATCTAATATAAAGCATGAGATCACGATGACATGTGCGGATGTTGTAGTGCTGTCCCATTTCTTAGGGGTACATTTTGAAGCCCTTCTCCTTCACACTCTGTTTCAAGGGCCAAGGGGAAGAGGTACAAATAGAATTGGGATTGAGCCATGAAATCTCAAGTGGAAACAGGTAGAATGCAAGGAGATCTCAATTTTGGAAATATCCAAAAAAATGAATGGAGTAGCAATATAACTGCATCTGCCACAATTACAACAGCAACAAATGTAATTTCTAACCCACAACAAGTACCATGCTAACATTTTCTGTTACCAGTATAAAACCAAATCACAAATAAAATCTTTCTACTATCTCAAGTGTATCCTCTAGACAGCAAAGAGATTAAATGGAAACCGAGTAAATCTCCTGCTTCTTAGATGTTTCTCCTGAGGGGAAAAAGTAATCTCATATGTGTCTCGTCTAAAGATTCAGAGGAAATCACAATTGTGCACAGATTTGCCAAGAAACAAAATGTATGCGGTCGAAATTAAAAAAAAAAACATTTCAGATCAAATTCTCCCAAGAACAAATTATTCACACCCTTTTTTATTTTACTTGTAGTAGAAGTATCAAACTAGATACTTAAATGAAGCACTTGGGAATCTTTCTAAACCCGTTAAGCTGTGAAGGATCAACCTGCCAGAAACAAGAAGAAGCAAGACAATTATTTTGACTCTACCTGTAAATTGTATGCCAGGCTAATGCGGGCACTCAAGCAGAGTGGATTGAGATGGAGGGCTGAGAGGAAGTCCCTCTGGGCTTTTTTCCTGGCCTGATTGTGCCCATAATCCATGAAAACGTTGCCTCTACCCACAAGACAATCTTGCAAGAAGGGATCAAGTCTTGCAGCTTCACTGTAAGCATCCACAGCTTCCTGCAACTGGCCGAGCCTTGATCACAGACAAAGGAAGTAGATCATCAGACTCAATGATGTGCTTGCAAAATTAGATATCTGTTTAATTACATAACTCTTGCTCGAACCATCTGTTCTAATATCTCAAAACGCTTTAATTTCCACTTTTGAAATATTAAATGACAAGCTGTGCGACATTGCCAGTGCAAACATTGAATTCACCCAAAAGATGCCATATAAAAGAGGAGAAAAAACCCACCCTGCAATTACAGCTTTTCTGTAGTGGTCTTGTGAAGACGCATTTATCTGAGAGTGCTTCTTTAAAGCAATAAAAATGCCAGCTTACAAGGATCTGAAAACATTTTGCTCTTTTATTCTGTAAATGATAGTTCAGAGAGCAACGCGTCTTGTCAGAGCTGCTCAGATATTTCATATTATTATAGACCATGTAGCCAGATGAGACATCCTGTCTGTCATAGGCTGTTAATCTGATAAAAGCAAGATATGAATGCATTCTGAAGACATGGTGACGTTTGAGTGTTGATCGATAAAATGAATAGACACGTTCTGAATGCACTGTTTAAATGCTGATCTGCATGATAAGTGGCACAGAGAGCATCAATAACTATTCATGAACGTCATAGAAGGTTTTAGAATACCTTAAATAATGTAGCCCTCAGAGTGGAGTTGCAATGTTTCCTCGGGTCCTATACAGCTTTTCTCAGTCACTTTGGTACATTTCTCAGATCAGAATTGAAATTTGCAAATAGCAAAACACTATGGATTACCCGCAAAAGCCAGTCTCCTGCTCAAAATACTCAGTTCATCCCTCACTACTAAATTTCTGTGTCAATAAAGAAGACAGTGTCAATGTGTACGGATAAGACAGTTAAATTAATTAGTCATGTTGTCAATACAACTGTGTACTCTGGAGGGGTGTTCTGGCGCCCGATTTGATTGTTATCACTCGATTGAATTGGCATTATCAGTGGTTATCAGCTGATAGATATGGGCCAGTATAGGCCTTCTGCACCGACCAGTAGGCCTCACAAGGTTGTCATCATCCATCCACAGGGTTAATCAGCTATATTAATAGAGAAGACTTCAGATCCAGATCTGTTTTTACATTACTGTGATGGTTTAGGGTAGGGGTAGACGTTTATAAAATACAATTAATGGGAAATTTAATAAATAATAGCAATAATAATTTTTTTAACTTCTGGCTGCAGCCATGGGTGATCTATAACTGATTAACCATGTGGATGGATGATTACAGCCTTCTGAGCCTACTAGTAGGAGCAAAAGTCCCCTACTGGCCCATATCTCTTAATAACGAGAGGGGTCTGGATGCACACCTAGTGCAGTGCATTCTGAGCTGCATCCAAAGCTTTTTAATGGGCTCACCTAACCCCACCCCTCACCGTGACGTCACTCACTCCATTTTAGAGACTTATGTCGGGCATTGCATTGCTCAGTGATGCAATCTCAACTTGCATCATAAAGGCTGCATCCAGATAGGATTGCTGATAATGCTCATTCAATCGAGTGAAAACATTTAAATTGGCTGGTTCTAATGTAAACTAAGATTTTTTTTATTGCTTTATGTAATGTAATTTGTTAATAGATCATGCCATTATGATACAGAAAGGAAAAGACAGCACTGCATAGCACAAAAAAACAAAACAAAAGTAGAAATGTGAACATAGGTCTTCTTTAAGATGCACCTTCAATAGAAAAAGTCAAGATTCACCTGGGATAAATTTAGACAGATTTAGAAAAAGAAGTCTAATGGAAATGTATAGGAAAATACATCATGACAAAATAATATGACAACTTATTCAGCCATTTTGCATGTAGAGACTTAAGCCATAAACAATATATTAAATGCTGACCAAAATATGAGACCAAAATAATTCATTTTAATCAACATGGCATAAGCAATTGATAATGTAAGAAAGAGAATTGCACATATTCATTTGCATAGATGCGTAAAAGCATTTGAAACTTCTTCAAATAAATAAGAAACTGCTTTTTTGATGTGCACAAATGACAAAATGATCTGAGGATAGGTGGTTTCTGATCTGAGACATGTACCAAAGTGATTGCTATGTCTTAAAGGTCTAGGGTAAGTAAGATAATGTACCTTAAAAGAAATGAATACTTTATTTCAGCAAAGATACATTCAATTGATTAAAAAATTAAAGCCATCTATAAACCTACAGATTTCACATTTGAACTTTATTTTTTTCATAATCTTGAAAAAGGATTTCCAGCGAAAAAACAAACAAATTTTTTTTTTCACATTGATATTAACAGCAAGTGTTTCTTGAGTTTCAAATCGAACAAACTATTTCTGAAGGACCATATATCTTCCAGATATTAATCATGTGATTCATTAATCATAAATAAATGAATTTTTTTAAAGTATTAAAATTTCTTTAATTTAAAATTGTATTAACATTATAAAGTATTAATGTTTCTACTCTATTTTAATTCCGAGTTCCACACGATTCCTTCATGTTTTCCCAACACACAGTGATTGGGTTAACTTAATCGTTTTTACACATTTTTTTCTTATGTTCAAATTTATTATGATTGATCATGCAACAATTAAATTTTTCCCCAAAAAAGTATTGGGTTGTTTCAACTCATTTTAAAAGTAATTTTTTGTGTAACCATAAGAGACACTGTATCTTTCAAAACCATATAAAAACAAAAATCTTTTGAAAATGTTAAAATGTACATGCTTAAAAAAAATGTTTTTTTTATTCCTTAAAATATATATTTATTTTTGACATCTCAATTTCATCTTTACATTTATTTGTGTTATTTGTGTAAATAGTTCTTATTATTAACATCAATATTTTGTATTTTAACATGATAAACTTCAAATGGGCCACACTTCATTTCCCATAATCTGACCTTATACAAATCGATACAAGATCTTATGAATCACCTACTTAGTGTAGCACATTTAATATTTCCAATTAAAGTGTCCTTCTCTGAATGTTTGATGCTTTTAAATTCCAGTGATGAAAACCAAATGAACAGCCATGATTGAGTCTTAGAAGGCTAAAACCTTGATTTTATATTTGAAACACAATAGAAATTTACCATGCTGTGGGGCAGATATTATAAACTGACTGCCGCTGCTGGGAGAAAATTGTTCTCGACTTATGCTGAGCAATTTCGCACTGTGAAACGGTCAATCACTTTCCACAATAACTCAAAATAAATGCACACCTGTGGTGAATAACTCCAAGTGCATGGTAAATTAGTACATCTGCTGGCCGCTTCTGTGCCGCAGCCTTTAAATCCTGCAACAAAACACAGTAATTTTCAAGCACAAATATATTATAATACAATAAAATATATAATGAAGCCATTGAATTTAAAATTCACAAAATTGCTTTCAGATTCAGAATCAGAAAGAGCTTTATTGTCAGGTATGTTTACGCATATGAGGAATTTGTTTTGGTGACAGACATATTCACAGTGCAAGAGAATGCATTTAGGCATGTTCAAAAAGCAGAAGAAGAAGAAGAAGAAGAAGTAGAAGAAGCAGAAGAAGAAGAAGAAGACGAAGAAGTAAAAGAAGACGTAGAAGAAAAAGAAGAAGAAGAAGAAGAAGAAGAAAGGTGATTTATAAATGACTTTGAACTTGGCATGGTTGTTGGTGCAAGACGGGCTGGTTTGAGTATTTCAGAAACTGCTGATCTACTGAAATTTTCGTGCCAAAACATCTCTCGAGTTTACAGAGAATTGATCGAAAAAGAAAAAATAACCAGTGAGCGGCAGTTCTGTGGGCACAAATGCCTTGTTGATGCCAGAGGACAGAGGAGAATGGCCAGACTTGTTTGATAGAAAGGTAACAGTAACTCAAATAACCACTCTCTACAACCGAGGTATGCAGAAAAGCATCTCTGAATGCACAACACGTCCAACCTTGAAGCAGATGGGCTGCAGCAGCAGAAGACCACACCGGGTGCCATTCCTGTCAGCTAAGAACAAGAAACTGAGGCTACAATTCACACTGACTCACCAAAATTTGACAATAGAAGATTGGAAAAAACGTTGCCTGGCCTGATGAGTATCGATTTCTGCTGCAACATTCGGATGGTAGGGTCAGAATTTAGCATCAACAACAGGAAAGCATGGATCCATCCTGCCTTGTATCAAAGGTTCAGGCTGGTGGTGGTGGTGTAATGGTGTGGAAGATATTTTCTTGGCACGCTTTGGATCCATAAGTATCAATTGAGCATTGTGTCAATGCCACAGCGGTTGTTGCTAGATCGAATATGGTTGTGGCCGGAAGTTAACGAGAAATATTTATATTATTTATTAAATGTCCCATTTATTGTATTTTATTAACATCTACCCCAACCCCAACCAGTAATTGTACAGAGTATTATTTACTATATGTCATCTATTAAATTACCCAATAAAATGTATTTTTACGCCTACCCCCACCCCTACCCAAAACCCAACCATCGCAGTACTGTAAAAATATTCACTACTGATATACAGTGTCATAAAAAAATGCTGCTGTATAAATGAGCATATCGCACTTCCGGCCGGCCGAGTATTTAATCTATACTTTATCCCTCACAGCCTACCTGAGTATTGTTGCTGACCAAGTCCATCCCTTTATGACACAGTGTACTCATCTTCCGACGGCTACTTCCAGCAGATGAACGCACCATGTCATAAAGCGTGAATCATCTCAGACTGGTTTCTTGAACATAATAATGAGTTCACTGTACTCAAATGGGCTCCACAATCACCAGAGCTCAATTTAATATAGCACCTTTGGGATGTGGTTGAACGGGAGATTCACATCATGGTTGTGCAGCCAAAAAATTTGTAGCAACTGCGTGATGCTATCATGTCAATATGGAACAAAATCTCGGAGGAATATTTCCAGTATCTTGTTAAATTAAATCAGTTCTGAAGGCAAAAAGGGGTCCAAGATGGTACTAGTAAGGTGTACCTAATAAAGAGGCCGGTGAGTGTGTTGCAAAGGGTATTTGATAATTGCTACAGAAATAACCCAAAGCATGATAAATTTGCTTTTAAAAACCTTGACAAAAACAAATTATAGATTCAATCAGCGTTTCTTACTTTACATCTCTGGCTTACCTGAAGGGCACTGCTGTAGTCATTTAGCTCCACATAGAGCAGGCCACGATTTATCAAGACTTTCAGTTCAAGCTCTGTCTTACAGCCCAAGAGCAGCGTCACGCTGTAGTCTCTGAGAGCCTTGAAGATAAAAAAGAAATAATGTGGAGGAAGAGAACAGGCATGCATTAAAATGCAAATGCAGAAGTGCAATTGTGATGAAAAGATATCCTGCATTTGTATACGTTTCTGTATATATGATCCCGCATACACTGCTGAAAAAAAAAACCTCACCATCTCATAATGTTGCAGTTCCTGAAAACATATGCCACGGTTGTAGTAAGCGAATGAACATGCAGGATCGATTTGGACTGCCATTGTTAGATCCTCCACTGCACTCTTGTATGCCTAAAACAAGATGATGAACATACAACATATTTCAGAGAGCATCAGCCTCAAGTGTACGATAATTATGCTCAAAATGGTGCTATTTTTACTAACTTTCAAATAGAATTTAAGAGCCCCTTTATACAAGTGTGCTCTGAGGCTCTTCGGCTGGATCCTGATAGCCTCATTACAGTCGAGTATGGCCTTTGCATGTCGTCCTTCAGCCCCATAAAGGGCAGCTCGGCTTAGATGCACCTTGGGAAAAATGAAAAACCATTTCAAATCTGAAACTTGGAATATGGAATAAATAATTTCATTTCTCTAAATAATAGTATTTAGAGTGTACCTGACAGAGCATCAGGGTGTACCTGATAGAACTTGGGGTTGATTTTGAGAGCTCTATTAAAGTCTTGCACGCCTGTGGAGTCTTGTAAATGAATGCGACAAAGGCCTCGCTGATGGTGAGCCTCGGCATGGTCTGGGTTTAAGCTCACAGTGCTGTTAAAAGCATCCAAAGCCTGAAGGAGAAGAGAATCTCCACTCTCCTATATTAAAAAAAGGTGATGATAGAGTAGTGACAGATATGGCTGCGTTTCCATCTGCTTCTTTTTTTTAAATTATCATCACATCTTGGGAATCTGATAAAATGCTACATTTCTACATTTCATATCTGGATCACACATAACATTCATAAATCAATATTTTTTGGGAGTTATGATATTAACTAATATAAATTAATTTATTACCTGAAACAAAAGCCTTTGCGTCACGTAGCATACACCGATTAAATAGAAGACCTCTGCAGTTTCTTTTGCAGGACTGAGTTTAGCTTTAGTGCTACCCAGAAATGACAAGGCCTTCTTAAAAGTTTCCACTGCTTCCTGTGTTTGACACAGTATAAAACATTCAATATGCAAAAAAAAAATGCAGTTTTTTTTGTTTATTTATTTTACCATCCTAATTCCCTTGTATTTTGTATTTTATTAGCCTAAATAACCATAACCTAAATACCCGAGTCTGTCACATTTTAGGGTCTCCTTGAAACGTTTCCATTGTATTCCGAGCTATTTGAAAGTGTGTAGGAAAATCAACGACGACGACCGGATTTGAGTTCGGGGAAGAGCAGTTTCAGAAATCAGGTACGACAAAAACAGAATCCAAAATATAACAACAGGGTGAGAATGTGGTAAAATCCGAAATTGTGGTAAAAATCAGACGAGGGCTTTTCTTTTTCTGGACGGCTTTTGTAAACCATCGGTTGGTTTTAGGAAAGTAATAGGGTGGGCGGGTCAATCGCTGTCGGTTGACAGCCACCTCTGGTGGGTTCGCGGAAACGGCACTCGCGAGAGACATTTGAGATGCGAAAAAGCCAGCCTGATCTCACGAGAAAACGTAAGTATTTTACGTTTTGGCAGTTTAGTGGCTAATTCAGTTCAGTCGTAAGAAAATGTACGATTTTAAAAAGGAGGCGTGGCACCTAACCCCACCCCTAAACCCAACCGTCATTGGGGGATACGCAAATCGTACTAAAATGTACGAATTAGATTGTACGAATTTGTACGAATTAGCCACTAAATGAAAAAGTTACGAATTGCCGTGAGATTGTGTTGGAAAAAGCGCACACAGCAGCCTCTGATTCGCGAAAACAAAAACTGCAAAAATACATACTTCCAGGGACGTATTTCGTGGTCTCCAGAAACGCCCATGGGATTACGTTTTCAGAATGACGTTGGAGAAAATGTAGCGCATTTTTGTAAATTGTTCGGGTTGTGAGAAAAGGCACCGTGTGTTTTTTAAAAAATGGGTTTGCGTTGTGAAAGTTTGCAGCTGTCAAACGGATAAAGATCTATCCCAAGCTGGCGATTTTTTTCAATCCATGTGTTTTCTTAAATTGCAGCATGTTAAGCTCTACTGCTCACCATATTTTTACGCTTGTCTTGCAGTTTGCACTACTTATGGCCTCTGATGTTGCAAAATGTAAAGAAATTCTTGAGGTGCTCAGCACCCTGCATATGTATGGATGGATTTTTCTTACTGCTGCAACTTTCGAACAGACAAATAAAGTCATCATTAAAATAAATAATGTTTGTATAAACTAATATAAAATTAAGAAATTATCACTGACACTAAGAATTTAGGGGAAAAACATTTCTATACAATGCGTTGTTTTTTACCTAACATTAGGGAGTTGTGAAAAAAATGAACCATGGTTTCCACAAAAATATGAAGGAGTTTTCAACACTAAAAAGAAAAAGATACGGTCCTTGAGCAGCAAATCAGCATATTAGAGTCATTTAGTGGAAAATCATGTTACAACATTTACCCAATTAGCAAGACTAAATAAATGCAGCTATTGACGTTGCATATTAAAATTTAAACCAATAAATTTAAATCGACACTCCATTCAAATTTTAAAAATCTGTATTTTACATTAACTGTAAAAATAACTTCAATGCATCTTCTAGAGTATTGCTTTTGTGTACTACTGTACTACAGTAAATCAATAATGTGAGCAGATGACTTTAGAGAAGTTTTCTTGCTGTTTTTCAGGCTTAGTTCTGCCAGACAGAGCTTGACTTATAGAGACAGGGTCTCGGACTCACTGTAAACCTGTGTTCCTTCATCAGCGTCCTCCCGAGAAGAATGAGGTGTGGAGGAGAAGGCTGTGTATCGACCGCTTGCTCCAGACAGACGATGGCATTGGCATCATTCCCCAGGAACGACTGGATAACAGCTTGCTGGACTGCTGATAAACCCAGAGCTGCGACGCAAAGCAGGAGAGCTTTACAGCTTGGTCTAGTAGTTGTTATGGCAACATAAAGCACATTTTCCAGTTGGGCCAGGTGGACAAACAAGATTTAATGATGATCATTAAAAGATGGGCAGCAATAAGAGCTGAGGTATTTCAAGCGCTAAACATATGCCTGCAATTTTCAGTAGGGCGAAATGAACTTTGTATGATCATTACCTGTTTTCATTTCTGCTGCATACTGAATGCAGAGGGCAGCCAGGTCAAAACATTTCATTTCATAGAAAAACTTCCCTCTAAAAGAGAGTAAAACAGTCTTTATATCAGATATTCACAAATTAAAAACATAAAAAGTGCACTGGCATACGGTTTTATAAGGACTGGAATAACCAATGGGTATAATGAGCACAGGCCCAGGGGCCCGTGCGCACTTAGGACCCAGGCAAGGTGGGAATGGCAGTGGAATACTGATTTTGGAGTGTCTATTTAGCGCAGCAGACAGCAGTGTGAGTGTCGTAGGTTGTAAAGTGCATGGCAACATGTTTTGACGCGATCAATCATGAACCTGCTTCGAATCCAGCATATGATGAACACGTTCTTATTTTTTTTTCCCCACTAGATATCAGATTTTGCCTACTCTTCATCACGAGGAAGACAAGTAGGGATCATTAATAAGTGTGTGTATTATGGAGGATTCAGATTCATAGAACTGGATTGGAGAGGTATTATATCAAAATCATATGCATTATAAGTTTGTAGAAGTTATGCATATAAATATATAAGTTTAATATATACATTAGTACTGCGTCTGTGAACTGGAACAAGTATAAAATCCAATAATTTTTACTAGATGTATTAGTATTTTATTTTTTCAAAGTATGCTTTAAATGCGTTTAATGATATAAAGTACATATATTTCTAGTCTACAAAGATTTTACTTATTTTTATTTTCAGAATGTGAGCAATACATTATAGATGATTTTTATTTAAATATATATTATATTAATCTAATTATTATATTAATCTAATCTTTTTCATTCAATAGGGGTACGGTCAGGTAGGGGGCCCACAAGACATTGTGCCCAGGGCCCTCTGAATTCATAATCCGGGCCTGGGTTTATTAGATCATGTCTTCATTTATTCTGTATTTGGTTATATTTTGTCTTTACTTACAGTTCTGCATACGATTTATAAAGGCAGAATTTATTTTCTGTTTTTATACTCCTTGCACAATAGACAATATGATAATAATGGGGTCTGGGTATACAGTTGCAGTCAGAATTATCAGCCCTCCTGATTTATTATCCCCCCAGTATATTTTCCCCTAATTTCTGTTGAATGGAAAGATTGTTTTTAACACATTTCTAAACATAATAGTTTTAAAAACTAAACAATTTCTAATAACTGATTTCTTCTATCTCTGCCATGATGACAGAATATCATATTTGACTAGATATTTTTCAAGATAATTGTATTCAGCTTAAAGTGACAATTAAAGGCTTAACTAGGTTAACTAGGCAAGTTAGGCTAATTAAGTCCTTAAGTCATTTTTATAACAGTGGTTTGTTCTGTAGACAATCGAAAAAAATATATAGCTTAAAAAGGCTAATAATATTGACCATAAATGGTTAAAAAAAAATTAAAACAGTTTTTATTCTAGCCAAAATTAAACAAATAAGACTTTCTCCAAAAGAAAAATTATTATAGAAAATACTGTGAAACGTTCCTTGCTCTGTTTAACATAATTTGGAAAATATTTGAAAAAGTAAAAAAAAAAAAAAAAAAAAATCATAGGAAGGCGAATAATTCTAACTGTGCGTTTTGTGTAGTTTCTAAAATGTATATGCAAAACAACTATTATGTGAAATAGCTTATTTGAGCAATACTAATTAAATATGAAAATGCAAGTTTTATGATGCCTCGAAATTTGGAAAAATAAAAAAAAATTGTCAGCGCAGAACTAGGCAGAAAATTTTGCCTAGTTGTCAATGCACCGTTACTGTATATATGCCAACAGCACTGTGTCCTGAGTTTGAGTGCCAACCCGGTGACTTTCACGATCACATCCCCCTCTCTCTCCCACTTCACTTCCTTTCAATATACTTTCCAATCATAATAAAAGCTAAATACTATAAAAAATCTTTTTATTACAGTTTTAAAACTGTTATGCATATAAAAATGCATATATGAAAACAGCTGCAAATGCTCGGTGGAATAAGAACCCTGGAGGTTTTATTCCTCCACAAACATTTTCCAAACATTTGTATGCCAAAATCACTTCATGGGGCAATATGGTGGCTGAGTGGTTAGCACTGTTTCCTCACAGCAAGCAGGTAGCTGGTTTGAGTCCAGGCTGCACCAGTTGGCATTTCTGTGTGAAGTTTGCATGTTCTCCCCATGTTGGTGTGGGTTTCCTACAGGTGCTCCGATTTCCCTCACAGTCCAAAGAAATGCACTATAGGTGAATTGAATAAACTAAATTGACCATAGCGTATTTGTGTGCATGTGAGAGTGTATGGTTGTTTCCCAGTACTGGGTTGCATCTGGAAGGGCATCCACTGCGTAAAACATATGCTGGATGAGTTGGCGGTTCATTCCGCTGTGGCAACCCCTGATTAATAAAGGGACTAACCCAAAGGAAAATGAATGAATGAATCACCTCATGATGTACAGATCATAAGCATCTGGTTTTAAGTGTATGGCTCGAGTCAAATCTTTCACCGCTTTGCTCAGATTATTCACCTGTGAGAAACACAATTTTAATTTAATAAAAAAATAATAATTTAAGTTAACCAAAGATCCCAAATTAACATTATATAGTAAATATAGATAAATATAGTTAATACAGTCACATAAAAAATACAATATCTTCATCAAAGCAATAACTAATGAAACACTATAGAATCAGTTACAATCAGTCAATCCTTTTTTTCAGCTAATCATCCTTACATCTCCTTACATTATAAAAGGCTCTGGCCCGGCATACGTAGGCTTTAACATAGGTGGGATCTGCTTTCAGCGCATTATTAAACCTTCTGATGGCTTCATAATGTCTGTCCATCTTCAACATACAGATCATTCCCAAATTGACATGAGCAACAGCAGCAGATCTGAAAAGAAATGATTACTCATTATATATGATATATCTTATATATAACTCACAGTCCATTTTTATCAAGAAGAAACCTTTTGAAAAGTGACTTTCAAAGAGTTTCAAGCTTCAGTAAACATTTCATCAACAATGGCCTGCCTTTGGTGCACTCGTGTGACAAAAGAAAATGAAGGTCTTTTCGTCACAGAGTGCAGGGGGCTGGGATGTTACCTGTCAAGTTTGATCACGGCTTCAAAGTCAGCTATAGCCTGCTGCCAGTGCTGGAGCGTCACATAGACCATACCGCGGTGCAGGAACGCACGCCAGTTTTCTGCACTGTCATTGATGAGAACTGTAAAACACACAAACAGCATGGCTAATGACATGATCTGGCTCTGTAAGCTATGATTTTATTTCTCAGCACAAAGTTCTGGCATACACAAAAGCATATGTGGCCTCTACTATTTCATTCATTTTCGAAGTGTCTGCCTGTATTTTTCAGTTTAGTTATTTTAACCCTTGCACTGTTAAATTTACTACCCTTTTTGTTATGTGCAAAATGAAAACATCCACTGTTGAAAAAATGCATCAGATATCTTTCTCTTTTTTTTGCATTACCTTGTTAATCAACCTCGATCCTGATTAAAACTACTAAAGTTTTTTTTTAAATGACAGGATTATAAGTCTTTTATTACCAAATAATCTTAAATTACCAAATTCACAAATGATGTGACTGATTTGGTGAAAAAACACACAGAATTAAGTATTTTCAAAATAAAAAGTAATGGTAGACTGGATGCGACGCAGTGGTTAAGTAGGTAGTGGTTGCAGCTGAAAGGGCATCCGCTGCATAAAACATATGCTAGATAAGTTGGTGGTTCATTCCACTGTGGCCACCCCAGGTTAATAAAGGGACTAAGCCGAAAAGAAAATGAATGAATGAATGAATGAATGAATGAATGAATGAATGAATGAATGAATGGTTGACTAGATTCTGGCTTTGATGCATTTTTAGTTTTCCTTTTTTCTCCCTAAATTACTGTGGGTGGCTGTTTTTCCCCATTGACTTCCAGTTTAACCACATTTGATACACAGTCTTTATGTTTGCTCCATGTAGTTCTGAGAGTTGAGATGCATATTTTGATTTTCTCAGACACATCAAGGTAAGTGTGTAAAGGTCACTCTCACAAACACACATAAACACACTATCATTTGTATCATTGTTATACTCCATATAAAATCCAGAAACTAAGCTTTTCTTTGCACAGGCCTATCTAAAGGGTTAATGATGCTAACTGATGACCAACAGTAAAAATACACATTTTACCTTTTTCCAAGAGGGCAAACCACCAACACTCAAAAATGCAAGATTATATGGAGTCATGGTTTTGTAATAAAAAAAAAAAATGGTTATAATGGAAGCCAAAAACTGACACCAACAATAAATAAATGAGAATTTATTTTTAAATTACTCAAAAAAAAAGCATCAAAGGCAATGTTGTTTCACATGTCCAAGACTCCGATAAAAGTTTTTTAAAAATTCAATCTACAATTACTTTTTATATTGAAAATACTTCATTTTGTGTGTGTTTTTCACCAAATTAGTGATTTAATTATTTGAACTTGGCAATTAAAATCATGTAATTTTCAAAGCAATTTAGTAGTTTTAATCAGTTTTGAGGTTAATTAAGTGATTTATGCGAAATAAATATTGAAAAAAATATTAATCTGATGCATTTTTACAGCAGTTTAATTTAGTAGATGTTTTCATCCCGAACATAACAAAAGGGTAGTAAATTTGCCCAGAGTGTATCGTTGAGTTTTTTAAAAATGTTTCAAAACATTTTCTCAAAATATGTGTCAAAATAAGACTTGTCACCAAAAACGATTCTGCTAGCTGAAACACAGAAAAACCTATGGCCAAATTAAGACTTAAATGTTTTTAATTAACAAAGGATTTCTGGGTTACTGCTTTTTGGTTTTTAAGTTACTTTTTTTTACTTTACAAATGATTTACTTCACTAGTTCAGAGAAAAAGTAACCGATTGTGTAACTTGCATTCCATATTCTGAATTCAACTGGGAGGTGTGCAATTACAGGGAGCAATACAGTATAGAACAGTTAAGTGGGTTAAGTATGTTTTTCTGGACACATCATAGATTTTTTTTAAGAAAACATTCTGTCATTATATCGACCTACAGTACACCATGCTACCTGCTGTCATGAAGATGTCGAATGAGTGCAGAAATTTAAACGAATAGTTTTGATAAATCGATTTAAAATAGTTGAGTCAACTGGATGAATCAATATTCCCAATATCCTTGTTTATGCAGCAGCTGATTCAGTACCAAAGAAGAACACAAGTTCGATAAAATATTACAAAAAATAACTATTTCGAAAAAGATTGTATAATAGTTAATAAACAATATTACATTTTATTTACCTTCATATTCAAATGACAATTATTTAAAAACTGAATTGAATCATTTCCCAGTACTGGGTTGCAGCTGGAAGTAAAAAATATCCTGGAATAATTGGCGGTTGATTCCGCTATGGCGACCCCTGATTAATTAAGGTACTAAGTTAAAGGAAAATAAATAAATTAATTGAATAAAAAATGTTCCTAGTTTGGCAATACAAAGTTTTCAGCAGGTCAACAGTTTGCTCCAACATTGAATACCCAGATGGCATACGAATGTGAACCACTTTAGGCAGTTATGCGGCACTGGTGGTCTTCCTTTGGCCCAGACAAAATGATGTGAGCCTGAAGTGGCCCACCTGTACAATGGCAAAAAGGGGGAAAAGATTACAATTCATATATGGGACATTTAAGTCCCATTTATGAATTGTAATCTTTGCCCCCTTTTTGCCACTTATGACAAAATATAATTTAAATGTAAAGCTACTATGCCCCATGTGGAAAATGGTAAATTTGGCCCAAATGACGCAGGACAAATGTGGGCCACAGTTGGCAAAATCATTTATCATGTGGCATTTAGAAGTAATCTGGGTCTAAACCCAAAGTGGCTCAAATGTGTAGGTGCAAATGGGGCCCAGTTTTCTTGACATATGTGGGCCATTTTTGGCAAATATTCGGCCCAGTAAGCTCTGGCTTATGTGGCTGTGAGCCTAAAGTGGCCCAGAGAAAGTATGGCAAATTTGCAGCAGTTTTTTTTAAACATATGTCGTCCACTTTTGACAAATATTTGGCACTGTAAACTCTGGATAATGTGGCTGTAGCCTATAGTGGCCCAAAGAAGATATGGAAAATGTGGCCCAGTTATCTTAAAACATATGTGAGCCACTTTTGGTGAATATTTGGCACAGTAATCTCTGGTTAATGTAGCTTTGAGCCTAAAGTTGCCCAGAGAAGATATGGCAAATGTGGCCCAGTTATCCTAAAACAAATGACGACAACTTTTGGCAAATATTTGGCACAGTAAGCTTTGGCTAATGTAGCTTTGAGCCTAAAGTGGCCCAGAGAAGATATTACAAATGTGGACCAGATCTCTTAAAACATATGTGGACCACTTTTGACGAATATTCGGCACAGTAAGCTTTGGCCAATGTGGCTTTTAGCCTAAATTGGCCCAGAGAAGATTTGGCATATGTACCCCAGTTATCTTAAATCATAAGTGGACCACTTTTGGCATATATTCAGCACAGTAAGCTCCAGCTAATGTGGCTGTGAGCCTATAGTGGCCCAGATGAGATTTGGCAAATATGGGAAAGTATATCTGGCTAAAGATGGTGTGAGCTCAAAGCAGCTGATGTAAGATGTGGAAAGTATGGTACTGTTATTCTATAAAAATATGATAGGTCAATTTTGGTAAAGATAAAGCTTAGATAATTATAGAGGTCAATCCATAGCTCTTTGACATGGCAGATATGGTAATAACTAATTTGTGACCCAAACAGGAGCACACCACCCTAGTGCTATCACTCCATGCAGTTTGTGGGCCGGATCTAAGTGTCTGGTGTAGGCCAGATTAAAGCAATCTGTGGCCCAGAATAAGTCAGTTCTGGTTCAATTCTGGCTGATATCTGGTATTGCTATGGCTTGATTGTGGCCCAGATCTGGCAAACAGGAGCGGACCGCCCAAGTGCAATCATTCTATGCAGTATGTGGACCGGATGTAAGTGTCTGGTGTGGGCTGGGTTTGCGCCCATATATTTTGCTAGCTGGGTACAGTATGGATACATTTCAGAGGAAGAGAAATTTCATATTGGTGAACAGGAACTACAAGAAGTTACAAGAAGTTATGTTTGCATTCCCATTTGTCTAACAACAAAAACAAAAATACCACTTAAATATTTCTCATGATGAAAACTATTTTCAAGTGATTTGACATTGGACAAATGAAAGAAATACTTCAGATTTACTCAGCCGTTAAGACAAATATCCTCATGCAGAAAAAATATTCACTAAAATTTTTAACAAAATAAAGCTATAATTCATCCAAAAATGAAATTCTGTCATCATCAAACCTCCATTCTTTAAAATATGATGAGGATTCATACATATGTGTTTATTTAGGCTATTATAAAGTATGATATTTAAACAGAATAGCTGCATAAATACTGTTAATAACTGAGAAAATACCTTCAGCGCAATCTGTGAAAAGAATCCATTTCTTTCTACAAAGAAGAAGATGGTGTTGATAACTTGGCTTAGTGCATTTTCTGCGGAGTACTTTCTGCAAGCTACATGTCACAAAAATAGGCTCAATACTGAAGCTCTGTTCACGCCTACACTCCTGTTACACAGCACCGCGGTGCTTAGGTGGGCAGTGTCAAACACTTCTGTACTGATGAAGATGTTCAGTTTGCAGCAGACAACACTGACAAAATATTCCAGCAGGCTTCAGAGATCAAAGCATCTGATCACAGCAGCCAAAACCATGCGATATAAGACTGGATGGCTCTTATTTGATCTGCTGTCTGAGTAGTGATATTAACATCCTCTTATGACCTGATTTAGCATACGCCGCTGTCTGTGTTGAGATGTAATGTGTGGCCCTACTGAAGCTGCTTAATTCTGGCCTAAATGCTTCTTTTAAAATTTTTGATTAAAGACATGGAAAACAGGATTTCCTTTACCAGACTTTTATGAAATCATAAATGGATCATTTAGTAATTTGCATGTACAGTTGAAGTCAGAATTAGTAGCCCCCTTTAAATTTTGTTTTCTTTTTTAAATATTTCCCAGATTATGTTAAACAGAGCAGGAAATTTTCACAGTATGTCTGATAATATTTATTTTCTTTTGGAGAAAGTCTTATTTGTTTTATTTTAGCTAGAATAAAAACATTTTTGAATTTTTTTAAAAAACATTTTAAGGGCAAAATTATTAGCCCCTTTAAGCTATATATTTATTCGATAGTCTACAGAACAAACCATCATTATACAATACCTTGCCTAATTACCCTAACCTGCCTAGTTAACCTAATTAACCTAGTTAAGCCTTTAAATGTCACTTTAAGCTGTATAGAAGTGTTTTGAAAAATATCTAGTCAAATATTATTTACTGTCATCATGGCAAAGATAAAAGAAATTGGAATCAGAAATCAGATAGAAGAAATCGTAGTTGTAATCAGTAAATGACATCACAACTACAAGCATGCTGTTATCTAACTTTCCATATTTGGCCATTATCGCCTTGTCACAAATTTTTCAGTACAGTGAGAGCTACAAAATTAATTTTATTGGCACTGCTTAAACAATTTGAGCATAATTTGAGGCATTTTATGATATATCTTATAATACAATTAATTTAAAGCTTCACTATTAAACAAAGATTATAAGGTATATAGGCACCTACGCCAATAACCTTTTAATTGGTCAAAAAGCTCTTTAGACAAATTTTAAAAATTTCATTATTAAGACAAGAGTTCCTTTTAGAGTTATATACTTAGGTTCTTTGGGGACAAAAGTTCTTCTGCAACATCACTGCAGAAAGATTTTTGGGCCAGTTTTTAAAGAGATTGTTCACCCAAACATGAAGATTTACCCAGATTTACTATACACTCATCCTCAAAGGTGCCTTGTGTAAGTTTTTGACTCTTCTAAAGCATAAAAATACCATAATATGTTTGCAGATATTTAAGAAACATGCTAAGTGAACTTGTTTATCTGAAAAACAATGCTGAAGTCAGATATTCTGCTTTGAACCTATGCATTCTGTGCCGGAATGTCTGTCTTTGTTTTGGTCATTTAACCCACACAATGCCAGTTTAACCAATTACTGTATATTTCAGCACCCCAAGTTGCCTTAATGGAAAACCATGTATTTGATTCATACAGTCAGAAAGGCTCTCAAAAAGTATGCGCCCCCTACCAAAATGCGACTTCCGGTGGACAGTAGCAGACTCCGAAATGAGACACAGATTCAGAGTTCCACATGAGGTGGTTGTTAATTAGCAAATAATATTCCGAAGATAACCTAGTGTATTAACAACACGCCACGTGAGGAGATTTTCAGTAATAAGCAATTTTTACACCAGACGAAACCCAACTGAAATTTTATTACAGCCATTAAGAAGCACACCATATACACTCACTGCACCTTAATGAAATGGTAAGGTTAATAATCTAATTAATACATATTAAACCTCTTTAACATTATTAAATGTACATGCTGAATCACTGATATGTGTTGGCTTGAACTGAGTCACAGTTCTATGCTTTTTTTCTAACTGTTTATTTAATTTTCAACATCTGAGGTAAACTATCTGCTTTAGTAGTATGGCAATAAATGTGATGTAAAATGGCACTCAAACTCAAACTATTAGCATTTAACACTGAGTAAAGCACATCGGGTGATCATTGTCTGATTGTTTAGCTGCAGGAAACAGAAGCTGTTTCTAAAATATACATTTCAGGTGTTGGTAAGAACAAAAACTCCTTTTAATAAAGAAAATATTTATTTAATCTCGTGCCGTTGCTTTCATTTAGAGCACAATTTAAATCAGCCTTAGTCAGGCACGCTCCTGTTGTAGTCGCCAATCTAGCAACCTAATTCAGGATTTGGCACTGTCAACTTGTTAGTCAACAGTACCTTTAAAGTAATGGCGTGCCGTCAGTGGCTACTGCGCTCATGTGCAATTCAATTTGTAATCCATTTTTAGATTTCAGTATTTTCAGCCCTAAAAATGCTGTTGTGGTATAAACAGATAAAACACATAAATAGTTTCCAGTTTTGGCTGAAAACATTGTTTAAACATTGCGTATAAAAGAGACACGTACAGTGCAAAATTACTGCAGTCTTTTTTTGGAGAAAGCATGTGTCATCTTGTTCGTGTCTAGAAGAAATAACTGACATACTGAAAAGATTTTCCGAGCTTCCTGAAAAGGTGCAACTTGTGAATTAATTGCAGAACAACCGTGACTGAACCATCTGTAATACTGCCTCTCATCCAGCATTCCTGACAGAAAACCTCAACATTTAAAGGCCCAATGGGCGTCAGGTTCTGAAAATGTGAGCAAGGTTTCTTTATATAGAGAAACGGTGAAAATTAAGCGTTTTCATGTGTAATATCAAGCATGTGTGTGTTACCAGATGTGCTGAAATCTCTTAAGGCCAAATGAGGCATTATCTCCCTCAGCAGACAGCCTCTATGGTAAAAAGCCAACCAATCAGCAGGATTCAAGTGCACAGCCAGAGAAAGGTCCTCGACAGACTTCTCAAAATGACCCAGCTTGGAATAGATTCTCCCTCTGTATGTCCTGCAGCAAGCGGGAAAAAAAAAACTATAATTGGATTTACGCATAAAAATGTCATGTAATGTAATTTGATGATAGTGGAAAGTGAAAATTTAGCATGCAAATGCAATGCTCAGAACAATGCTGACCTGGCTATAGCATTATCAGGTTCTTGTTTTAGCAGTAATGAAAAGTCTTCAAGAGACACCGTCCATTTGGAGCTGTTAAAGTGATGCATTCCATGGAGCATCATTGCATCTGTCCTTGTAGGGTCAATGGTGAAGGTCTGTTGGTCAAATAAGGATTTATTTTAAAGTCTTTCATTTATATTTGAAAGTCTTTTATTTTACAAATGAAAGACTTTTAAAGTCTTTCATTTGTAAACTCAAACAGAACATACATTTATATTTAGAACACATAATATGTCTGCCAACTGCAATCTGCTTAAATGAGCTTTGAAAAACTGACTATTTCTGTTCACAAAACAAATACAAGCCAATTATAGTTGTTAAAGTGTGCAATAATAACATGAACACTAATTCAGAAAAGGTCCCACTTTATATTAAGTGGCCTCAACTAATATGTACTTACACAGGGAATAATAGTTTGTTACAATGTACTTATTGTGCAAATACGTACATGTATTTACTGTGTACTTATGCTTGATTAAATACATGTATGTAATTACATCTGTAATTAACTGGTAACACTTTACAATAAGGTTCATTAGTTATTGCATTTACTAACATGAACTAATCATGAACAACACATGTACAGCATTTATTAATCATAATTGAACATTTACTAATGCATTATTAACATCCAAGTCCATGCTTGTTAGCATTAGTTAATGCACCGTAGGTTAACATGAACTAACAATGAACTACTGTATTTTCATTAACTAACGTTAACTAACATGAACAAATACAGTAGTAGATGTATTGTTCATTGTTTGTTCATGTTAGTAATGCATTAATTATTATTAACTAATGAACCTTATTGTAAAGTGTGACCAAATAACTTTTGTTATTACATTTGTAAATACACTGTTGACCATCCCTTACACCTTAACCCACCCTTAAACCTACCCATGCCACAAACCTGTCAATAAACCTACCTCTATCCCAACTCAAAAGCACCACAAGTGTTCTCAAATACATTATAAACACAGTAAATACATTGTATTTATTTTTTTATGTGAGTATATAGTAGTTAAGGATACTTAATATAAAGTAGGACCTCAGAAAACCTTCATAAAGTGCCTGCAACACAAAAAAAGAACTACGTCTTTATGCCAAAATAGTTTGTTTATTTTTAAAAGCCTTTTCTACCTTCTCTCTGACCCTTAAACAAACCATTAAGTGGCATGTTTCATGCTTTTAAGAAAAATTTTCACGTGTGAAATGAGAAGCTGCACTTTGCTGTTCTCTTGCTCAGGATGATTGTACCTCTCTCATCCTTCAATAACAGCCTTTTTGCAAAACCAGCAGGTTCACAAAACAATTCATGCTGAAACGTGCTGCTAAAAAATATCTGACTGTAAAAAGGGTAGCAGGTTCTGGTCAGGAACAATTCTTTATGACACTTATGTGAATTATTTTTTGATGTTGCGAATTAGATTATTTCAATTATTAATATTGTAATAATGTTATTTTATTAATAACAACAACTGTAATTGTACAACACCTACTGTATCATATATATAATCTGCAGCTCAAAGTGAAAAAGGAAACTGTAGCTGTCCCACCAATGTTACTCTTTTCTTCCAGACTTGCAAAACTATTTAATTTCATATATTTTTTATTAATATATTGTTTCATAGGGCTCACTTTGGCATAGTCTTCCATGGCCAGCAGAATCTCGCCCATCTTGTCATACATCTTTGCCCTCTTAAAGTAGATTTCTGCATCATCTGGCTTGACTTTGATGGCTTGGGTGTAGCTGAATAGAGCCAATGTGGTTTCCCCTCTTTGTTTGTAGATTTCTGCTCTAGACATGAAGGCGTCTGGAACACAATTGGCATCAGTCAGGAGTTTCTACACTTTGCTCTGAAGAATGTTTTGTGCACTAACAAAATATTTGACATTAAAAATTTGCATTTTATGTCCCCTCTCTGGCCTTTATAGTAAACCAGCTGTTGCCATGTTGTTGCCATTGTAGGGCCAGAGTAAGACTCACAAACACCAGTAATTTACAGTATGTCATAACACCAATTAATTTATATTATAATATTGGAAGTCACATGGATATCACCCCATAATATATATTTATATGTTCAGTTTTTATTTTAGTTTAATTTTATGTAACTTGTCTTTATTTATTAATTTGTTTTTATTTGACTATTTAAGTTTTAATTTAAAATAAAAAATACATTTATATTTATTTATTAAGTTGTTTTTTTTACATTTTGAAGTTATCAGCTTAAACTTATCAGCATTTATATTTATTTTCTCATTTTTTAATTTTTTTTATTTTAACGTTTAGGCAATAGTCCCCTTTAGCCATGATGGTGATTGTAATCAGTATATAGTTATACAGTGCATCTGGGAAGTATTCATAGTGCTTCTAAAATTGATTAAATTGATTTATTTCCTCAAAAGTCTATACAAAATATCCCATGATAATGACAATGTGAAAAAAAAAGATTTTTTTTTTAAATAGTTGCAAATTTATTCAAAATAAAAAACCTGATAAATCACATGTACAGAAGTATTTACAGCCTTTGCTCAATACTTTGTTGATGGACCTTAGGCAACAATTACAGCCTCAAGTCTTTTTAAATCTGATGTCACAAGCTGGGCACACCTGTCTTTGGGAATTTTTGTCCATTCCTCTTTACAGTACCTCTCAAGTTCTATCAGGTTGGATGGGAAGCGATGGTTTACAGCTATTTTTAGATCTCTCCAGAGTTGTTCAATAGGATTTAGGTCTTGGCACTGGCTGGGCCACTCAAGGACATTCACCGAGTTGTTGTGAAGCCCCTTCATTGATATTTTGGTGTGTGCTTTGGGTCATTGTCCTGCTGAAAGATGAACCGTCGCCCAAGTCTGACGTCAAGAGCACTATGAAGCAGGTTTTCGTTTAGGATGTATCTGAACATTTCTGGTGTAGCCTGGTGATGAGCAGCACCTAGTTTTCTCCAAAAGTAACGCCTAGTATTCCCTCCAAAGAGTTCAATTTTAAGCCTGGTTTATACTTCTGCGTCAAGTGACCGGCGTAACTCATGGCGCAGGCAACGCGTGCAGCTGTGCATTTATACCTCTGCACGCTGTCTCTGTTGGTCTGCATTAACACTTCCGAAATGCTAGTTGGCAGTGAGGTGTAAACGTTCCTCTGTGTCGAGTTTCTTCGCTTCTGTTTTGCTTTTCCTGAACACTTCCTGGTTGTACAAGTGACTCAAACTCGCTCATTTTGAGGCAGGAACCGGCGGACGTGCAAAAACTTTAACTATGAGGTAAACACAAAACAAAAACTTTCCATCCGGAGCTCTTTCACGGGACTCCACACTTGTAAACAATTGGTCGCGCCATTCGCGCGGCTATCGGTCCCGCCCAGACTCGTCAGCGCTACCAAGCTGACCAATCACAGAGCTTACGCTACGCGTTGTTGCGATGTGTAGTTACATTTTTTGAGAGGTGCACGTCAGTGACGTCTTTTGTCTTCATGCTTGGTTTCTGCTTTGACTTGCACTGTCAACCCTGGGATCTTATATAGACAAGTGTATGCCTTTTCAAATCATGTCCAATCAACTGAATTTACCACAGGTGAACTCAAGTTAAGCTGCTGAAACAACTGAAGAATGATCATTGGAAACAGAATGTACCTGAGCTCAATTTAAAGCTTCACGCCAAAGGCTGTGAATACTTCTGTACATGTGATTTTTCAGTTTTTTTTTTTTTTATAAATTTGCAGCAATTTCAAAAACTCTTTGTTCACATTGTCTTTATAGGGTATTGTGTGTAGAATTTTGAGGAAATAAACAAATTTAATCCATTTTGGAATAAGGCTGTAACATAAAAAAGTGGAAAAAGTGAACCGTTACGAATACTTTCCGGATGCACTGTATATAGTAATAAACTATAATGCCTAGTTTTTATTTAATGTTTAGGAAATGGTCCCCTTAAGCAATTATGTTTATTATTGTGATTATTATCAGTAACTTTGCAAATACATGCATTAATATCTGCCAGCACATTGTTTTGATGATAGAAACACATTCTGTAAGTAAGCAAGTACATGTCAATTTATTTGTCTACTAATACACTATTGATAATTGGTATGCATTTGCAAAGTTACTTAGTCAACAAAATTTTAAAAGGGATGATCAAATAAAGTATAACGTATAATATAATGTAAAATTTGCTGTAGCTTTATTTCAATCAACAAAAAAAATATCTGAATATCTTAGTGTAATGTTGTTTTTATTGACTTGTTCCTGCAAAAAATTCGTTAAAAGGATAGTTCGCTCAAAACTGAAAATTCTATTATCATTTACTCACTCTTCACTTGTCATAAACCTGTTTGAGTTTCTTTCTTCTGTTGAATGCAAAAGAAGATATTTTGAAGAAAGCATCAAACTGGTAATCATTGTCTTCCATAGTACTATTTTTCCGACTATGGATGTCAATGGTTACCGGTTTTCTGACATCTTCTAAAAAACATCTGCTTTTGTGTTTAACATAAAGAAACCACTTTAGGGTTAGTACATAGTGTATTAATTAAATTCTCGGTTGAACTACCCCCTTTAAATGGATTGTGCAAACTGGGTAGAAAGCTTAGCACTGTGAACATTGGATCACATTTATATTAATGCATCTAATACTTCAATTTAAAAACCACTAAATCAATCTTATTTTAATTTGTGCCCTTTAACTGTTTGATTTTGTCATATACAGAGGTCAGACATCATACACAAGCACTGCATCAGTAGCTTGTCTCCCTGCTGTCTGTTAATGAAAGTGGACTCATGTGCTTGTACACACCTGCATGCTTCTTGTTGTTCGTAACGATGACGTTTAGATCGTCCAAAGCTCTAACGGGGTCGTTTCTCAGCAGGTAGATGCTGTGTCTGTGCCAGTAGGCATCCAGTAAATGGGGCTCCAGGGAGATGGCCTTTAAAAATAGAAAAACAACAGATCGATCATGAGTACACAATAAACTAAGCGGAAAATCAGGCCGCATCTGTAAAACGTTCCGTTTCTATTTGAATAAGGATTTCTGAAATGAGCCGGTTTATAATGAGTTAATGCTAAAAATAAATTACAAGTGATAACGTTATTGATTCTTGCCTTAGCATGCATTAAAAATAAAAGACAAGAAATTAAGTCTTACTGCACTGAGATCCTCAAGGGCCTGTTCAAGATAACCAAGTTTTATGTAAAGTGCTCCACGTCGACACCGGTCGAAAGCATTACGATTTCCACCTTCAGTCAATGCTTGGGTCAACTTGGCCACCTCGTGCTCCAAATCAGCTGTACTGAGACCTTCATCCACAACCTCACACATATCCAGTTTGTCCTCATCCTGTGAAAGCTGGTTCTCCTCCAGAGCAGCTGGGAGAGGGTCTGAACTCTGGATATTTTCCAGTGGGGGGAAGACCTCATCGAACCACGTGTCCCATATGTTTCTGACCCACTCTCTGGGTGGTGTGGTGTCTGGTATTCCACCATGATCTGTCACAAAACTCTCAAAATCTAGTAGCACTGGCAGACTGAGGTGTGAAAATCGCCCTTTGGATGTTTTGTGCTCCCATGGTAACTGACACAGAGACTTGCTCCTTTTAGAGAATAAACAAAAAGAGAAACACATTATTAATGCAAGCCTAACAACAAAGCTAGAAAAAGATAAACAGAGTGATGCGTAAAACTCTGCAACTTTAGAATATTTATGAAGCATAAATATTCTTTTTAGAATAATGATGAGCTACTAGATGCATTGCATCATTAAAGGACACCTATTTTACCCCTTTTTACAAGATTTAAGATAAGCATTTGTTTACTCCAAAATGAGTCTGCAAAGTTTCAGCTCAAAATACCCATCAGATTATTTATTATAGGCTCCAGAATCTGCCCATTTTGCTGTCTGAGTATAACATAGCCGTTTTTGTTGCCTGTGGCTTTAAATGAAAATGAGCTGCTGCTCCCCGCCCACCGTTTCCATGTGCGTGTGTACTTCTCATCATGCATTGTGTCAGATAAACAGCACAGTGACAGAGACAGACTCGGATAAACTGAAACAAAGCTCATTAGTAGGCCCACACGGAATCTGCACGCGCTGAATTCCGCAGATTTGTAGTCCATCAATGATTCTGTTCATTTACTTGTGTAACTTGTGTAACCAATTAAAGTGGATCTAATTGGATTTGCATTGTAAACATTAAATAAAAGTTAGAAAGGTATTACTTTTTGTTTTATATATTAAGGTTTTAGTTACGATTCTTCCAAAATTATTTAGCAAAAATGAGCAAATTTTTTAACAAAAATGTCCGCAGATTCCGTCTGGCCCTACTCATTAGTCATGGATACCAAGTGAATTTAATTCATGTATTTATGTTGGAGTTTATTCAAGTCTTTCTGAAACGATGAGTCTGCAGTTTGCAGTACACACCGAGGTGATTAAAGTGGTTAAGAATTACATAGCAATCTTACTGTCATTATTACAAACATGCTTTATTTTAAAAACGTTTTAAACTTATAAAACTTATAAAAAATCACAGAAAGATTAACAAATATTTTAACCTCCTAGGGCTTAGTGGCCACATACGTGGACAGCACATTTTAGCTCTTAAGTGGCTTTTTAAAATACCTTGTATGTTTTATATTTTGTTACAGATTTACAGTGTCATCCTGCAACTGTTTTGCAGCATATGAAATGTCCCAAACACAATTTTAATTGTGCAAAATGGGGGGTGTTGTTTTTACTCTCTGATAGTCAAAACATGTTTAAAAGATTTTTGTATGTTAAATATGCATTACAAAACAATCAAATAAAGGTGTTTTATGTAAATTTTGACCACGAGTCCACATATAAGGACATCATTTTTTTCTAAAAGTACATCATATCTAAAGATGATACTTAGGTTTTTATTCAAATTAGGTTCCAAAAAACACAAATAGCAAAGAGAAATAAAAAATGCATGTAAAAAACCTTGGACCTTTAGTGGTTAATCCCAGTTCATTTGCCGAAAAAAAAAAAGTTCTGTGGACGCTTGTACAAGTTATTATAGAAACATGGTGCCTGTCAATCAATTCGGTGGAAAACCACACTGCTTTGTCAGGGGTACCTGCAGGATTTTATTCAAAGGTGCACACATATCCAGGACCATCTCGCCCCATCATCCCTTATTTATATATCAATCTCAAAAAACACTGATGCTTGCTGTCAAAGGCTACATTTTTTAAAGGCATTGCCGTGAGTGAGACTAAAAATGAAAGCACATCATTGATTTTGATTTAGATATATATATATATATATATATATATATATATATATATATATATATATATATATATATATATATAATTTTAATAGATTGTATATGTGTTTAATATAGTGTATACTGTTTAATAATCAATTTTAATTATGTAAAAAAATAAAATAAAATAAAATAAATAAATAAATAAATAAATAAGGGGCATTATTTCACACCATCTAATGGTAGGTACGCACGTTATGGTGGGCCTCAAAACTCACTGGGATTAGGGTCCTATTTTAATAATGGGAAATTTGAAAAAAGAGACTTGTGTTTATATCACACCCATATGACAGTGGACACTTTACAGTATATAATACCACATAATTCTGTCCAAACATCTTACAAAAGTTGAAAAAAAAAGACAAAATTTCCATCATAGGTTGCCTTTAAATGCAGTGAAGGTCTATTTGATAAAATTGGTCAACATCCAGCTTGTTTCTGAACACTAGTCATTTTATTAAATGCTTTAAAGGCTCTAACAATTTAATAAAACCACATCTCATTCTTTTATGAAATATTGCTACATTTTATATCTGTACACATCATTAAGAACTATATTTCTGTGCACATCATTATGGACTTTCTTTCCCTCATAATACTAAAATGGATAGTTCAAACTAACTGAACATTCTGACATCATTTACTCATCCTTCACTTGTCACAAACCCCTTTGACTTTTTTTTTCTTTTGTTGAACACAAAATAAGTTATTTTGCTAAATGTTCAAAATCTGTAACCATTGACTCTTATAGTATTTGTTTTTCCTACTGTGGAACTCAGTGGTTACAGGTCTCTAACATTTTCAAAATGACTTCTTTTGTGAAACGTATAAAGTTACGCAATAACTTGTGGGTGAGCGTATAATCTAAATAATTTCTTCTCCCTTTATAAATGGCATCTCCTGTTTTAAAGCGAGTGATGTCGTGACAATCTTTTACTCGGATTTGATCAACCAATAGCAAACACAACAAATTAATAAATTACCCAAGAACAAAAACAATTCCCATTCTACATATTATCTCATTCAAAAAGCTGCTTCACAGCGGAAAACAAAAGAAAAATCTGTTTTTACAGTATGCCAAATTGTTAGTGCCACTAACCTTGTTAGTGTCCTTGGTGGCTCTCTTAGTTTTTTCAAAACATAGGCCATGTTAACAGAGCTGAGAGTTTTTATTTTTTTCGTGGCTCTGCGTTTAGAACAGGACACCCTTGCCCTGTCTTTGCCTTTGTGTGGGTTCTTCCTGTGGTTTAGGGTCTGGCTGGGCTGCTCTGATAATTTGGGCTCTGTGTGAACCTCCTGGGGCTTTGCCTGTTTGGCGTTGGATGGAAAAACTCCAGCCAGAGCTGCACAGATTGTGTTCTGCTGCCATCGCACATGCTCCGGCTCCTGGGAAAGGCTGGTGAAATCAGACTGCAGCCGAAGACGGGGCTCAAGATCTGGGGTTAAGTGCGGGGCAGAGTGAGGCCGTCTGGCCTGAAACCCCAAGGGGAGACAGGATATTACAAGAGGTGAAAGTCTGGTTGCACTGGTTCTCTTACAGTAAAAAGAGTTTTAGATTCTTTATGAAATATATACACAGAACAAAAAGCTCAAATCATAAAATGCACATCATCTGCATGAGTGTAGAAACACTCCAGCTTTACGTTACTACAAAAACACAAGGCTAACTAATGAAAAGCACTAGGGACTTATAAAATAATTCTCCAACAACAAAACCGGAAAATATTTCAACCTGCTTTGCTGAGATGATTCCTGAGGGAGTCAGTGAGGCTGCTGTTCTGAAGTCTGCCACGGAGTTACACTTAATAGGCGAGACATTTTCCTGGGGACAAGGCCATGTTTTTAGAGAATGTCCAACACAATTTTATTCAAAACCTCACTTGAGAATTTACTGGAGTAAGTGACATGAATGCAAACTACCAAACTCTTGCTCATCTTGTTTTCTTCATTTCACATAAATATGAGAATCTAACATTTCAGGCAGTGACAGTAGAGTTCTGCAGTGTGACATTTTATTCTACAGTATACTGCATGAAAATTTTTAAATCAGTCCCAAGTTATAAAATATAAATAGTTAAAATGATGCATACAGAACACAGCAAGTATCATTATCAATGTTGAAAATATGCTTGTGGAATCCACCATCATACTTTTTTTAGATCGATATAGGCCGATAATCACATTTAATGACTCAATCCGTACTCTCTGATCTGGCTGATCTCATGAACCGATCGCAAGTGCTTGTGTCAGTTGGAGTTGAGCAAAATATTTGAATGACCTTGCTTGTTTTTAGGCCTTTTTACATATAAGAAGTGAAAGTTTGTGTTTTTGACAATATTGCAAGTTCACTAAAACCTGGCTAAAAATATTAGATACATTTAAAAAACCTTAAATAATACATTTTAGAACAAATATTTTGTAACATGAATATTTTATATTATATTTTATTTTTTAATTTAATTATTGCAATCAACGGTAGTTTATAGAACCATTTCCTTTTAGTAAAGAAGTAATAGATTTATAGGTTTGCATTTGAACTTCTTAGGCATCAAATATGCGCTCCAAACTTTTTCTTGATTCAGACATGTTGTTTCCAAATTGCATTGTTAGTCATAGTCATTTACCATTTTTTTGTGCAACTATTTTCTGTAAAGCTTCTTAATTTATAAGACATGTTTAAAGGATTATATGCAGCATCCTTTATTTATTCTCTCAAGTAAGGCGAGATCCTCACTTACTGTAAGTATCATACTTAGAGGGAAATTGTGCTTAATGCTTTATAAAGCTTCAAACGTCAGAATTGATCACCGTGACAAGGAATTGGTACTTAGTATCGGCTGAAAAAATCCTGATCGGAGCATCCCTACTTTATTTGACCCTACTTTATATACTTAATTTAAGTATAACATTTATTTGTAAAGGGTAAAATATACATTTATATATATATATATATATATATATATATATATATATATATATATATATATATATATATATATATATTATTTTTTTTATTTATTTTTTTTTATATAATTACTTTCACCTTTTATTGAAATAGGATTGTGGAGAACAGAAAGGAAAGCATTGGGAGAAGAGAGAGGGGAAGGATTGGCATAGGATCTCGAACCGAGAATCGAACTCGGTTCACCATGAGCACCATGGTGCTATATGTCAGCACACTTAAACACTAGGCTATTGGCGCCGACATATGTTTATGCATTGTTTAGTCATTTGCATAAATATTTGTTTTTTATACAACTTTATGAGAAGAGTTTTCAAGAAACCAACTTAAAGAAACAGACCTCAGAAGTATCCTTCTGTTCTGTGTTCATCACATGGTTAACCGAATCCTCCACCACATTGTGCAGCTCTTCCAACAGATTTTCTTTGCACATGTCTGCTCGGGTTTTCTGAGGACACAAAATTAATGAAAACAGGGCACTAAAGAGATTTATTGCATTACAGTTTATGACAATGGATTTTATGTAAGTTACACTAACATTTTACCAATCCGAAGGTAAAGATAATATTCATAAGATAATATAAAGTAAAGATAATATTCATAACTGTAATTCATGTGAGTTGTAAGCATTAATATGCAAGTCAAGTGCACTTTTTTATTTAAACTCTTGACAAGATGATTCTCAAGTGCTTCACCCCATTTCTCTAATATTATGCGCTTACAAGATAATTGCATTCAAATTAGGATAATAACAGCATGTATCAGTGTTAGTGTGCAGACAAAGAGCTGCTCTGTGCTCGTTCTGAATGCAGAAGTCTACATTGTAATGTGATGTGGGAGTCATTGAGAGATTTCTGCAGAAAAAAAGCAGCACAGGTACATCTCTTAACAGTGTCGTTGTACCTGGTATTTGGAGAAAAGTGTGTCTTTCATAACAGAGGGGGCGCAGATGAATTTCGGAGGAGCAGGGTTCCAGAACATTCTGAGCTCACTGGCACACAGTGTTGCCTATGATGAATAAAATACAATTACTGGATGTCTAAAGAAGCTTTATTTAATATTATGATTATAATAAAATTATAATATGATCTTAATGTAAAATTTACGCAACAGTCGAACAATAATTTAAAGCTTAAACATACAAAAAAATATACATATATATATATATATATATATATATATATATTTAGTTATTCATCTGCTAATTCAGCATTCCATAGGAATGTATCTAATGCCATCTAGTGATAGAACAGTACCAGGATGCTTTATTTTATTAGGTTCATAAAAAGTAAAATGTGCATTATAGATTTATATATAAGCTGTTCAAAGTCAGCTTTAACTAAACATCAATAACATATCTGATTATGCATTAAAAAGCATAATTATCACACCATAAATAACCTCTGTCAAGTAAAATAGTTCTACATGTACGTTCTTAAACCAGAGCTCTGGTTTTAATTCAAAAAATCTAGCTGTCAATATCACACATTAGTCACTTTAATAAAAGTCACTGACGATGAGTCATAAAACAATACATCTTTCTTACAGCACGTCCACACATCTTAATCCTCGGCCTCTCCACGTAATATTCTGCGATTCTCTGCCAGTCCTCTAGTGTATCTGACGTCTGTTTAGGCATGTGGGAAACACAGTCAGTCTGTGCTGAAAGCTCAGTAGATTGAACAGAAACACCTTCAGATACCAGCCTACAATGAGTAATACGGCATTAATTATGTGCATTGCATCTGGAATCAGATGATAAGTCATCGTGTCACATTAGGATACAAACAGGTGGAGAATTAAAACATAAATTGTGACCTGAATTCATAATAAATTAGTTTTTAGGATTGAATAGACATACTAAGATTAAATACCTCTGTATGTGTGGTTGAGAAATATGTCCATGTGCTGTCCTCTGCTGGTTAAACTGAGCTGTTGCGGTGATCAGGTTGCGAGTGTGGCAGATTCGAGAGGCTAGTTGTAGTTCCACAGGCACAACTTGACTGGCAGGAGTGGTGCACAAATGGTGGATTGTTTTATATCCTTTTGAACTGTGGATTGAACAGACAATTAGAGGGGAAAATTATTAAGTTTTGACAAAATATAAAACTCCCAAAAATGCTATATTATTTTAACATTTGTCCATTTTACACGTTGGCTCAGTGGTTAGCACTGTCACTTCACAGCAAGAAGGTCTCTGGTTCGAGTCCCAGCTGGGCCAGTTGGCATTTCTGTGTGGAGTTTGCATGTTCTCCCCATGTTGACTTGGGTTTCCTCAGGGTGCTCCGGTTTTCCCCACAGTCCAAAGACATGTGCTGTAGGTGAATTGAATAAACTAAATTGGCCATAGTGTATGTGTTTCAATAAGTGTGTATGGATGTTTTCCAGTACTGGGTTGCAGCTGGAAGGGCATCCGTTGTGTAAAACATATGCTGGATAAGTTGGCGCTTCATTGCACTGTGGAAAAGCTGAATGAAAATGAATAAATAAATGAAGTTGTCTGTAGTGTGTGTGTGTGAATGAGTGTGTATGAATGTTTCCCAGTACTGGGTTACAGCTGGAAGGGCATTCACTGTGTAAAACATAAGTTTGCGGTTCCTTTCGCTGTGGAAAAGCCGAAGGAAAATGAATAAATGAATGAAATTGGCCATAGTGTATGTGTGAAGGGCAACAATTTGTAAAACATGTGCTGGATAAGTTGATAAGTTTCCTACGGGTGCTCCAATTTCCTTTACAGTCCAAACACATGCGCCTGGGTAAACAAAATTGGCCCTAAAAATTGGGTAAACAAAATTATCCAATTGTGTGTTTAAATGAGAGAGTGTATTTTAATTACAACAAAAATGATGAGCAGAACTGGCTTCTTCTTAAAGCAATTATATATTTTAACAATTCTAAATGGCCTACAAAGACAAAATTAATGCAAAGCATGATTATCTTACAGACCTTTATTTTTTATCTAGTCATTTCAGTACAAATATCCAAATATTTTTAAATCAAGTAAAATAACCAATAAGCATGATTTTCTAACTGACTTTTTTTGTCTTGTCATTTCAGTACAAATATCTTAATATTTTTAAATGAGATGGATTTTTCCTATATTTGTACTGGAAAATGATATAAAAATACTATGCAAGACTGAATTTTTTGTAATCTGATGTTTGATTGTCTATTTGTAATCTGTATTTGTATTTGGGACTTGTGGAGCTGTGCATCGATGGATTTGCTCCTCAGTGTTTGGACTTTCAGCAGTGAAAATTAAACCACACTTAACTAAACTCTGAAAACTGGCCTGATTCAATTCAATTCATCTTTATGTCTTTAGTGCTTTTACAATGTAAACTGTGTCAAACAGCTTAACATAGGAGATTATAGTAAAGTGAAACTGTGTAAGTCCACTTTTTAAATTTAAAGTTCAGTTAAGTTCAGTTCAGAGTGGTTTAATTTTCACCGCTAAAAGTCCAAACACTAAAGAGCAAATCCATCGATGCGCAGCTCCATGAGTCCCAAACCAAGCAGGCCAGAGGTGACTGGCGCAGAACAAACTTCACCAACACAGTTTTAATTAAAAGTACTATAGAAATAAGAACTACAGAAATAAAGATGAATTGAATCAATCTGAAATATTTTGTAATAATATTTTTTTTAAACATGGCCTATTAGGGTTTCTGTATCAAAAATTAATAAATTAGAGCATTTCTATAAGTGGTCTTAGATTTTGGACACCATTGGATGTACTAAATGATCCTGGCATGCTTGTGTATCTTTCATTCATTCATTCATTTTCTTGTCAGCTTAGTCCCTTTATTAATCCGGGGTCGCCACAGCGGAATGAACCGCCAACTTATCCAGCAAGTTTTTTACGCAGCGGATGCCCTTCCAGCCGCAACCCATCTCTGAGACATCCACACACACATTCACTACGGACAATTTGGCCTACCCAATTCACCTGTACCGCATGTCTTTGAACTGTGGGGGAAACCGGAGCCCCCGGAGGAAACCCACACGAAGGCAGGGAGAACATGCAAACTCCACACAGAAGCGCCAACTGAGCTGAGGTTTGAACCAGTGACCTTCTTGCTGTGAGGCGACAGCAAGCTTGTGTATCTTATGACTTGATATTTATGTTCCATGACCTGACATAAATAATAAGATTTTCGTTAGTAAAATAATTATGTGTTAAAATATGATATTAGGGCCTCACAGGGACATTTCATTGACCTTAAACATATTATAAATCATTCTGGGTGTCAACTCAATGCGATTCAGGCCCTATGTTCTGCCATGAAAAGATGACGAGTCAGTCTATTTGCACAGATCGTCTCTGCCATAACTTCACACCACTGTTTGAACTGCAGACAGCGGGAGAAAACGACCTCAGAACTGACTTTGTGTGTGGGCCCTTTGTGTTCTTCATACTGCAGACAGGCAGAAGAGGCCCTCCGCCACCCACGTCCCCACGACTCTACTGACAGCACCAATTTATTGCGTACGTTTCGTTCACTCTGGCCTGTGACAAGCCAGATTTATCACCTCACTCTGGCATGGTTAAGCCTCGACGAGAAAACCTGGAAGGTCACGCCAAAGTCACTGGCACAGCCTTCACTGAAGAAGAAAAAAAGAAGCATTCCTGAACCGTAAAGAGGAACCTTCAACCTGTCCCGCTATCCATCTGCCCCGTAGGCAGGCGGCGTTCATATAAACTCTCTCAACCGCATCCAACAGGAACCTTTCAGTGACCCTAGTGACTGGAAAAAGGCAGTAATTAAAAGGCTCTAAGGGAGTGGCGCAGGTCCAGCCGCGCAGGTAGTAAATCTTGTGTTATCAGCTCTCAGGTGAGTGCCGGAGAGGTCGGGAGGAGGGATGCGTGGGTGCGCTGGCTCCAGACAGACCCGCTGCATGCGCAGATGAGTGCTGTAAGTGACAGGCAATTACTCGCCCTGTTACTGCTCCCTAAATAGGGCTTGATGACAGCTTTGGACGCTCTTTCTCAGGTAGCGTGAAACTAGATGATCATTTTAGTCCAGGCCCACCCTCTGTGCTCTTCCGCTAGAGATGCGTTGAGAGATTGACATGCTGATTGTAAGTGGAACATGCCAATAAATCAACACGTAGATTAGTGAACTTTAGTGTCATAATACATAAAATGAATTATACGGCAGGCTCAAAAGTATTTAGACACTGTCTCGCTTGGAAATGTCTGAATATTGTGTTGTTAGGTCATGTCAAGTAACAAAACCACATCTGTTTTAGCCAGAAAATAACTTGTGAGAAGTCTTGCTTGTTGGTTGAAAAATAAATGAAATAATATTACATGAAAAATGTAATAAAAGGCCATTTAAAGAGAGTGCACTCTTACTTATTACATTTTTTAATAAAATCATTGGCATTTTTAATGACTAAAAGTTTAGGTTTTTCTGTCAAGCTTTAAAAGATGTATATTTATTTTGACCTGCAGATTAAGATTACATGCTAAAGCATATAAACAGCACTTTATTATAACTTCAGCTGCAGTGTGTTACGCAAGACTACATTTTAAAATATTACTTGAACTACAGTAGAATAATTATTAGTCTAATATATTTTTCATATTAGCTTAAGGTAACCCAGCAGGCACACGGCATCAAAAGAGGTTAATATTAAGCTAGATTTAGGTCAGGTGACCAAAATGTAATGTCTAGTCAACGTCTAAGAACAACGTTATTATGACGTCCAATAAAGACGTCAAATTATGTTGATATTTTGTTGATTTTAGGTTGTGTTGAAAAGTGATCAAAATCCAACGTCTGATAGACGTAATGGTGGTAACGTGCACAAAACGTCAAGATTTAACATGATTTGACGTTGATATCTGGTTGATTTTGATCTGAACCAGATTTTCATTTCCAAACAAAATCCAACGTCCCCACGACGTTGTGGTACAACATCAATATGACATCATGTTGATGTATTGTGCCTGCAGGGAACGTTTCAGTAGTTTTTCATTTTTAAGATAAACAAAAAAATATTTTCCATTACAATTATACAAAATCGTTCTAGTTTTATAGTTTTCACTATAGATTCAGATGTATTTAAGCATGTCAATTTTCCAACGCAATCTCATGGCAATTTGTAACTTTTTGATTAAGTGGCTATTTCATATGAATTTGTACGATCTAATTCGTACAGTTTAGAACGATTTGCTCATCACCCAATGATGGTTGGGTTTAGAGTTGGGGTTGGGTGCCACGCCTACTTTTTAAAATCATTAATTTTCTTATGACTGAACTCGTAGGAATTCATACGAATTAGCCACTAAATTGACAAAACATAAAATACTTACAGTTGAAGTCAGAATTATTAGCCCCATGTTTATTTTTTACACAGTTTTAAAAGCTGAGATTTTTTCAACATATTTCTAAACATAATAGTTGTAATAACTCATTTCTAATAACTAATAATTATTTTATCTTTGCCATGATGACAGTGCCTAATTTTTAACTAGATATTTTTTCAAGACACTACTATACAGCTTAAAGTGACATTTAAAGGCTTAACTAGGTTAATTAGGTTACCTAGGCAGGTTAGGGTAATTAGGCAAGTTATTGTATAATGATGGTTTGTTCTTTAGACTATCAAAAAATATATAACTTAAATGGGATAATAAGTTTGACCTTATAATGGTTTTTAAAAAATTAAAAAACATTTTATCATAGCCGGAATAAAACAAATAAGACTTTCTCCAGAAGAAGAAATATCATCAGACATACTGTGAAAATGTCCTTGCTCTGTTTATCATCATTTGGGAAATATTTAAAAAAGAAAAAAATTCAAATGGGGGCTTAATATTTTGACTTCAACTGTACGTTTTCTAGCGAGATCAGGTTGCAATTTTAACAGTATTTAACATATATATAAACTTTAATAGTACAATATAACTATTGGTGAAGGTTTTTTTTCCCCTCTCCGCTGTCGCCACTGGCATGCATTATTCAGGATTGGTAGAGCTACGCATTGATGAATTTGCTCTTCAGTGTTTGGACTCTCAGTAATGATTTCAAACCACACTGAACTGAGCTAAACTGAACTGAACTTAAACACTAAAAACTGAACTACACTGATCCAGTTACTATGACCATTTATGTGAGGCTGCTTTGACACAATCTCCATTGTAAAAGCGCTATACAATTAAAGCTGAATTAAATTGAATTTAATAGAATTATAGTATTTATATTTAGTATTTTTCATCCGGCATGCAACTAGCTGTGCGATATATATTATTTAGTTTGCTGTACTTTCTTTTAAAATATCGGAGGGGAGGACATTTTCTGAAATAAACATTTAAAAGTGTACTTTTCACAGCATATGTCATTCTGAAAACGTAGCCTTATATACATTTGTGGGAATTGTGAATTATGTAGCTAAAGGTACATATGCCTGTCTTTTGTCTTTAAAATGACTGCTATGTGGCAGTATGACACTGTTCCTTTACACGCTTATCAGCTGATCGTTGATTTTTACCAGTTTGCCCAGTGGCTTGCCCTGTACGTTGACAGACTTGTGATGTGGACCAGAGTTGACCACAACGACGAGGTTCCAATTTGGCGAAGAACGGTTCCAGAAAGCAGTTAAGACAAAAAAATGAAAGCTAAAAGATAAAATAAATAACTAAATAACAGGGTGAGAATGTCTTAAAATTGTCTGCCACGAGGGCTTTTTTTTTTTTGATTGCTTTTGAAAAGACAGTCAGTCGATAGCGGCCTTTGGTAGATTTATGCAAGAACAGCAGGTGCGAATGGCACCCGTGAGACAAATTTGAGATCTCAAAAAGCACAGAGTGGCCTCTGGTTGATTTGCAAAAACAAAACAAAAAAAACTGCAAAAAAAACTGCAAAAAAAAAAAAAACTTCCTGGGATGTATTTGGCACTCTCCCAAAATGTATATAGGGGTAAATTTTTTGAATGAGCCTGGGTTGACTTTTCAACAAATACTTGGACACTTTGTGGATGTAAAATATTATATGGTCATAGTTCATGTAAACTGAGTCGAAATGTCAAAAACTGTGATCAAAACTTTTTTTCTTCATCTGTGGCTAAAATTACCTAGATATTTTTGTTATTTAATTCGACTAAATGCATACAATTTAACTACAGCTTTAGTATCCAAATACATTTTGGAGCCATAGCACAAAATATATGGTATAACTTTTATACTCCTTTTTTGGTGTCCAGGTTGCCAGCAGCGAAAGGCCTTGAATGGTTTTTCTTTCTGCTCTTTGAACTGCAGTCAAGCTACATCCACGAGCCATTATTATATCTTCATGGGTTACCTATAAAAATATGAAAAGGCTGATAAATATAGAGTAGTTTCTAATAAAAAAGAAATGAGGGAACATTATGTCATCCAATCTAAAAGTTATAAAGTCAACCACAAGTTAAATGTTGAGCAATCAAATAACTTTTATAGAGTTGACCTGGGATAAAAGATCATCGAGTCCTCCGTCATCAGAGACATCCTTTTCTGACTCAGTCATTTTGTACAGACCGGATGGCACAGGTGGACGACACATTGCTGTTGGGGTATGTGGTAATGAGGTGCCCCTTTGACTTGGGCCCTGAAGGAAAATTCACATGAAGGTCTTCATTCCAAGCCTATGACTGCTGAATGTACAAACAGGAAATGCAACAAATTCTCCCAAAGCAATGAGACTTCATACAATATATTGTTCTAGTGCTTGAAAAGCACACAAACGTACTCTTCCTCTGTTGCCTCTGGGGTTTTAAAAACTGCCAGTTCCCCTTAGAAATATTTAGTTACAGTTTTTTATTTGTCATATTTTATTGAAGTGACTCAGATGAAAGATTTATGCTGTGACATCATTCCTAAGCAGTTTGTATTTTAATTTTAAAGTATATCTCTTTAAATTTATTTTAACTGCATATATATTTGATAAGGAAGTATTTGGAGAGTAGATTCAACACATACTAAATAATAAATAAGTCCATTAGAAAAAAAGTATCAAACCAAGCACCAAACATGTGTTTTGTTAAGTAAAACATGCTTTATATATTTGACCCTATATGATCTGAAAGCTTAATAAATGAGCTTTCCATTAATGTGTTTGTTAGGTTTGCAAAATATTGGGATAAGCTGCAAATATTTGAAAATTTGGAACCTTAGAGTTCCAAAAAATGTAAATATTTAGAAAATGACTTTTAAAATGGTCTAAAATATGTTCTTGCAATGAATATTAGTCATGAAAAATGTGATACACTTTGTTATATTTATGGTAGGAAACTTGATCTTTACTTAATATTCTAATGATTGTCGGTAGCAATGGCCAGTGATTAAATGCATCAACACAGCACTGAGGTTCTCACAGCGATGCTTGCTAGCTCAAGGTCCTTTGCCAATCCTTCTCCTTTCTCTGTTTTCTTGTCTTTACTCTCTACTGTTCTGTCCATTAAATGTAAAGACACCAAAAACAATTATTAAAATAACATTTTCTAAACATAATAGTTTTAATAACTTATTAAAATGAATATTTTTATCGATTTCCCAATGAATATACAGTTAGCCCCAATTAGCCCCCCTAAATTATTAGACCCCCAGTTCATTTTTTCTGTTTAACGGAGAGAAGATTTTCTTTAACACATTTCTAAACATAATAGTTTTAATAACTTATTTCTAATAACTGATTTATTTTATCTTTGCCATGATGACAGTACACAATATTTGACTAGATATTTTCAAGACACTTCTATATAGCTTAAAGTGACATTTATAGGCTTAATTAGGTTTACTAGTCAGGTTAGGGTAATTAGGCAAGTTATTGTATAACAATGGTTTGTTCTGTGGACTATCGAAACAAAATACAGCTTAAAGGGGATAATAATTTTGTCCTTAAAATTGGGTTTAAAAAATTACTTTTTTTTTTTTTTAAATAACATTTTTTTGATTTTGATTTTGTGGTCCAGGGTAACATATATCTAAAAATTATAAATAATAATATATAATGGGCATCATGGTGGCGCAGTGGGCACAATCACCTCACAGCAAAAAGTTGCTGGTTTGAGGCTCGGCTGGGTCGGTTGGTATTTCTGTGTGGAGTTTGCCTGTTCTCCCCTCCGGGTGCTCCGGTTTCCCCCACAGTCCAAAGACATGCAGTACAGGTGAATTGGGTAAGCTAAATTGTCCGTAGTGCATGCGTGTGAATGAGAGTGTATGGGTGTTTGTCACTGATCGGTTGCAGGAAGGGCATCCGCTGCGTAAAACATATGCTGGATAAGTTGGTGGTTCATTCCGCTGTGCCGACCCCTAGATTAATAAAGGGACTAAGCCGAAAACAAAATGAATGAATAAATGATAATATATAATACAATTAGCTGTGGAAAAAGGGAATTAACATCTACTAATAGCAAAAAGACGTATATTATATTATATTACACATTTAAATAAAAAAAAAACAATTATAAAAATATAATGATAAATAATTAACAGGCAACTGCCTCATCATAGCTGCAGCTGCCCAAAATCTCCTAAAAGAAAATGTAATAAAAAATGAAATAAGAAAATTAAAACAAACAACTAATCTCATCCCCAGAGCTTGAAGTATGTATAAACTTTTCTTTACATAAATAAAATAACATAAATAAAATAATGCTAAAACAACTGATCATTATAAGAGTTGTGCAAATTAAAATACACAGTGGTTGCCCTTCTAGCCGCAACCAAGTACAGGAAAAATTCTATACACACTTATTCAAACACAAACACTACGTCCAATTTAGTTTATTCAATTTGCCTATAGTGCATGTCTTTGGACTGTAGGGGAAACCTACGCAAACACAGGGAGAACATGAAAACTCCACACTGAAATACCAACTGAGCCAGCCAGAACTCAACCCAGTGACCTTCTTGCTGTGAGGCAACAGTGCTAACCACAGAGCCACCATGTCGCCCATGTGTATATTAAAAATAATTAAACAATCAACTGCAATCATCAAACTGTTTCCAAATTCTCTTTGTAATTAAAATGAGAAAAATAAAATAAACAAAATCGAAAAGCTTACCTCACAATAAGAGTAACAGCTTTGTCTGAATTCCCTTACAAAATAAAACTAGCTTTAAATTAAATAAAAAGGAACAAATAAAAGGCTAATCTCATTACCAGAGCTACAGTGCTGTCCAAATGTTGACTAGTCTTACACATACATAGTGATGTATATAAAACACTAGTATTATTTTTATATAAATAAATAAAACAAATAAACTGCTATACATCAACCATTTCCAAATTCTCTTTTAATTAAAATAAAATGAAAACAACACTGCTTATAATGAGTTACAGCAGTATAAATTCTTAAAAACTATATATAAATTAATAAACTGCTGGCCTTGATTTATTTTAGTGTAATTAATTTTCAACTGCTAACCTCATCATCAGAACTGCAGCTGTGCCCAACCTCTATTCCACAAGAATACACAGATGCCTGGTCAGGAAATGTGGCACCAAAGTTGCCACCCTCTTCATGCCCACTTTCCATCACTAATGTATCTGCCAACTTCTCCTTTGGTGCCCTCTGCTGGTCACTCTCTTCTGGCTGCTTCAGTCCAGCAATAAGAGTAGCTTCCTCCAGGAGCTCAGAGGAGGATTTGACACGTTGGGGGCTGCTGTTCTGGGAAAGAGATTGATGCTTATAAGGCTCCCAGTATATTTCAGTCCTCTGGCCATTCTGTGTTAAATTCACATGATCTGATGTTTCACTAGAGTCCAGTTGGTTTTGTCCTTTAAAGAAAGTGCACTGGTCAGTGCTGGGGGTTTTCGTCTCCTCACCTGAGACCTGCAGAGCAAGTGTGCGAAGTTTGTAAGATCCCCCTGCTGATAAGGGCCACTCTGATCTGGGCTTAGCAGGAGGTTGCGGCCTTTGGGACAAGGATACTGCTTTGGTGGTCCCTGCAAGAGAGGCTATCACAGGCTTTCTGACAATCCCATGCCTGGCTTTAGGTTTTGGAAGAGCCATTGTGTTCAGTGATTTGTCTATGGAGGAAATGTTTGGGCTTGTGCTCTGACCCCGGCTCATTTGGAAGGTCTTTGTTGAAACATGGATTTAGGGGCAGTTTGCAGAGGAGAGGAAAGTGAAAGTCTATTTGAGACTCAACACAGCTGGGTTTTGTCAGGATGCCAGGTAAATATGTGATGACAGGTCTCACCTGGCAAAGGTAAGAAACAAGTCTTCTGTTCAGACTGGATTCACAGAGGTGATTCATATGATTGATATCCTGAAAATCAAAAAGAATGATTAGCAACTTCGGAAAAAAAAAAACTGAAGTGAATCATATTTAAAAAACAAAGCTGGAAACCCAGCAAACAATTAAGTGTTTAATGGACGTCTAATAGACATCTAAACGTAGACAGCTTTTCTAAAACAAAAGATAAACTTGGGCTGTCAGTGAAAATAAGACTAGCTAGACTAGTCGTCAAATAGACAGATTAGACAGACTTAATATATGTAGTCATTCAATTCTGTTTATTTGATGACTAGTCTAGTTTTAGCCTATTGTTAGACGTCTATTAGATTTTACTGACAGCTTAAATTTAGCCTTGTTTTACCCAAGAAGACTATGCTTGGACGTCTAACAATCTTTTAGACATTTTTTTTTTGACAAAAAAGCCTGCTGGGAAGAGTCTTTTGCCTGATTTCGTAAAATAAAACTGATTCAAAATTTGTGACAATAATCAACTATATTTTCATTATTTTGCATCAGGTTTATAGGTAACACTTTATTTGATGACTCATTTGAGTATTAGTAGACTGTCTGCTTAATGTCTGTTGATAGAGACGTTCAACAGACATTTAACTGACTATAAGAAACTTTGCAAGTACATGTTTTTTTATTTGCTTGTTTATTTAACAGGGACATTACACTTGATATTGTTATACAAAAATGTTGCGTACATATATATCATAAAACTAATTTGCAGCCCTCGTCCCTGGATAGGCTTTACATTAAAAAATAAAAAATAAACAAACAAGAATAAAACACAATACAACAAACATGTACAACATATACAGAGTCACAAAGATACAACTTAAGTCAATCATTGTAAAGAGAAATGTAAACCTGACCAACCTGAAAGAATAATAGCCTACTTAATGCTCACATTGCTGTAAAGATTTTAACCATTCTTTCAGTTTAACAGAGCATGTCAACTTACACTTACCCCAACCTCACAATCTACTAATAATCTAATGAGAATTAGTTGGCATGTAGATGCAATGTAACTTAATTCAACAAACAAGCCATCAAAATAAAGTGTGACCGGTTTATATGACTGAAGTCCAGCTAAAGCTAAACGCATTTCATTTGTACGTTAGACTTTGCATGTACCCTCATTTTCTATTCTGACTCAATTGAAATAATGATTACAAACTGTCTTTACACGTTCATACTGCTACTGAAATATTTTTATAAAAGGCTTGAAAGATATTGACGGAGATTACGCTAACGTTACTGACGTTTACATTAACAGTTAGCCAGCTAACTTACAGCTTGCTTGAAAGTTGTTCTAATCATTCTATAACGTACGG